CTTTAAGCTTTTCTTCAAACCAACCCTAGGGTTAAACCTGGGTGCTTTAAACTTGGGTTCCAAACCTGGGTTAGAACCTGGGTTTCAAACCTGGGTTCAAAGCTGGGTTATAACCTGGGTTTAAACCTGGGCTTTAAACCCGGGTTCCAAATCTGGGTTAGAACCTGGGTTTCAAACCTGGGTTTGGAACCTGGGTTTAACCTGGGTTTTAACCTGGGTTAAACCTGGGTTCATTAAACCCGGGTTCCAAACCTGGGTTAGAACCTGCGTTTCAAACCCGGGTTCAAACCTGGGTTATAACCTGGGTTAAAACCTGGGTTAAACCCGGGGTTGAACCCAGGTTCGAACCCAGGTTTAACCCAGGTTCAAACCCAGGTTCAAACCCAGGGTAAACCCAGGTTTCAAACCTGGGTTCCCTGGGTTGTTGTTGTTGTTCTCTTCCCCCCCGAAAAGAGGGAACGCAGGTTCAAACCAAGGTTCAAACCTGGGTTAAACCCCGGGGGGGATTGCAAAGACTTTCGAGCCCCTAAGATCGTCAGAGCTGCGGGCCGTAGGCCCGCGAATCGACAGTGCTCCAAAGTATCGAATTCTGACCTATGTCTCGAACTAAGGCTTGTAGCTATCACAGAGTGGAGTGCTGGAACACCCTCCCCAGAGAGAGAGCGAAAAGCGGGTCGGCTCGCCTGGAGTGCTATCCACGACAGCATGCGCGCGGGCCCTGCCGGCCCTGGAGCCGCCCGCGCAGGATCACTACGCGACGGGCTCCCACAGCCTCCATTACCACTATAGAGACGGTGCTGCCCTCGCCATTGCCGAACGCCGCAACCGCGCTGCTTACCCTTAGCTCCGCCGGCGAGGGCCGCAAAGGCTGTGCGTGCTCGCGTGCGAGATGGGGGGCGCTGGAATGACGAATCGCTCCTCCTCAGCTCGTGGGCCCTGCAAGCCCCCCCAGCTAGGGCCGGTGCAGGCGTTGCATTGGTGGAAGCCTTTCAAGCGTGGCTGCGCAAAATGCGCTTGCTGCTGCCACTCTGCTCGGGTTACCGCCCATCAACGCCCCTATGCTTGGCGCACAGGAGCCGCCTCTGCAGGACGTCCTGCACAACGCGTGCACGCCTTTGCCCACCCGCCTGCCGGCGCGCTGAGCCGCTGCGGCCGTAGTCTGCACGTGCACTGGGACCGCGCGTGGATTGCTCGAAAAGTCCGTCGGGGAAACAAAAAAAAGCTGGGTGTGAAGGCGTACCACCACAAGCACTGACCCTCCAAGATGCGGCTCAGCCAGCCGCCAATCGAAGCCAGCGACGCCTTCCCCGCGCGCACCCCTAGCGCTCCAAAGGCGCAGAATCATTCCGGCTGGTCTTTTTCCAGACCCCGAGATGTCTTTTTCCAGACCACGCGATCTTTTTTGCTTTTTGTTCGACATCCACGGTCCAAAAAAAGAGCTTGATTTTTTTCAGCCCCAAGCAGAGGCCAGAAAAAGACAAGGAGGCCGGAAAAAAGATCTTTTGTCGTGTGTGTGTTTTCACTTTTATTTTTTCATTCTTATTTTCTTTGTTTTTGCCCCCTAAAGCGATATCGTGTGGCTTCTCCTTCCTTCGTGTTGGAAAACGTGTTTTTCATATTTTTCGATGACACACTTATATTTCTTTCGTTCGCTTTCAGCCCCTAAAAGCGATTTCGTGCTTCTTCTTATTTTTGTGTGTGTGTTTGTGTGTGAGAAGTTATAGTGTGGTTAAGTTAGTTTTTGTGCGGTTTGCGTTGCAAAATTCATATTGTGGTGTTGTTTGATATGTCATGTGTGCGTGCTTTTATCTTTGCCATTAGAGGCCCAGAAAAAGATCCACCGGGGTCCGAAAAAAGACGCGGGGTCAGTTACGAGATATTTCGGGACCGAAAAAAAGATGGCTTAAATCGTAGAGTGGAGGTCGAAAAAAAGATCGTAATCTTTTTCTAGACTTGGTCGCGGGGCTGAAGAAAAGATGGAGGTCGGAAAAAAGACATTCCGCGGTCGAAATCAAGATGGACCAAGCGCGGGGTCTGAAAAAAAATATTTCGGGGTCGAAAAAAAGAGCAGCCCATAAAGTCATTCAGCACGATGCTGCGTGCCGTCGCCGTGCCGGAGGAGGGCCAGTACCCAGCGGTTTTACAAGAGGGGTTGTTCACTCTCTTCCTGGGCCGACATGGCACTTCCGCTTTGGAAAAGGATCGATGCGCTCCTTCAGCCGGGCGTGCTACCGAATCTAGTGCATCTGCCCGGCGCACTTCCCGAGGTGCATGCCCAGCGTATACGCCCGCAGAGGCGTCCGCTCCACAGGCCGTGAATGACGCCTCGACACCACGCGCGGGCACCTCGCGACCGCGGGCTTCATTGACAGGCGTGCCGGGATCCTAAGCATCTGACGACTGCCTCGACGAAGCGCTCCCAGACGACCACCCTTGCCGGAGCTTCGCAGGGAGGCGCAAGCAACTCAGCCCTCACGGGGTTCCCGGCTCCGGCGTGGTCCAGTCTCGATGCTGTTGACTTCGCTGCAGAGTTCGGCACGCCGGTGCAATCACTGTCCAAAGCGTACCGGCCTATCTGCGAGCTGGCGTGCGACAAGCGTTTGTCTTCGTGTTGATTGTGTTGCGAGCTCTTCGCGAAGCGTACGCCTGCGGCACGGCCCCCCCAGCAAACCCGCGCTTGGAAACTTTTCCCACTCGCCTCGCTTAGGCTGCAAGCGGCCACGATGTAGTAAACAAGCTGTTCGATACAGCTTCAGCGCCGGAGTTATCGCACCAAGAATGGATTCTCACCGAAAGCTTTGCGAGTCAATGGACCTGACCAAGCAGCCACACTAATGCAATTTGCGCCAGGCACTCATAACAAGAAGTGTCACGCTGGGCTTCTGAACGCAGAGGAATGTCAGCGAATAGAAATCTGACATTGTAAATTTTTCGGAGAACCAAAAATCGCCGGATGGCAAAGCAATGTAACCTCCAATCGCAAAAGTGTCACCAATGCCCATGGCGTCTGCAGCCGCCTCCGCCTCGAGACGGGGATGGGGCTTCAACGGTCGCCACAATGGAGTGCCGACCAGCCATCCCAGTATTTAGTCGGATGCGAAGCTCTCTTGCAGCGCACCGTTGCGACCGGGGCCCCAGCGCCTCTGCATCGTGCGAGGCTGGCGGGCGCTGGACCTACTCACGCGGCTTCGAGCCCTGCGCGCTCCGCCCGCTCTGCGCAGCGCCGCTAGCCAGGGTTGGCTGTGCCGCTGGCGGTGTCTGCTAAGCGTTGCTTTGCAAAGCACCTTTGCTGCATACATGCCTGGACCTATCCCTGGTTTCCAGTTCCCTGCGCTCGGGAACCTATTGCACGACGCAGTTCCCTCCACTCCGAGCCGCGTGGGGTCCGTAGCTTGCATTCGCATGCATTCGTACGGGGACCATGAGCTTTTTCGGCGCAGTTGTAACAGGTGCGCGGGGAAAAAAGGGCGTTCCCAATTGGCAGCAGGCTGGCAAGCCACCGGTTGCTCGTTTTGGTTGCTACCGTCAGTATGTGAATTTGCGGGCCGCGCATCAAACACAACAAATACACAATTTCGATTGTCTGCTTAAAGTAATGAAGTTGGCTGGACGTCAGGAGATTGTGTCGCTGGAAACGCAACGTGTGGTCATGTGGAGGCACAGGGTTCGCCCCTGTTGCGTATACGGATATAGCTGATGGCCCATTCACGCCTCTGCCAATCGCCATGCGCGAGGCTTTCACTTCACTTCACCTCACCTACACAACCGACGTTGCGCAATCCTGCACGAAGACTTGTCCACACATGCGAGCGCTGCTGCCGCAAAAAGGTGCGCGGAAAAACAAAACACACACAAGCTCGTGCCGCAGCGGAAACAAGACATCGTTCGTTTCTTGCAGTGGGATACGCATGCGCAAAATCATCGCACGCATGAGCCAGTCCAGATTGCACATTTTGTTTGTGCTGCCATTTCACGCCTTATTTGTCAAAGTGCTTTTCCACACAGGTTCTGTAGTGATTTCTAATGTATAAAGGCTCACTTGTATGTGTGTTCAAATGGTTATACACAGTACACCAAGTGCATCCGAGCACGGTCCGACACGTGGCATGCATGCAAGACGCAGTCTGCAGTTGACACAGGTTTGTACAACTTCCCACATTCAGTTCGAACTCCGTGCTTGGGCCCGTGGTGTTGACATGGACAGATGGCTGCACATGATCTACGATGTTGAAAATGGATTTGACAGGCCTTTAATCCAAGTTCATGGTGGTGCTGTACACGTGTTTCCGTGCAGGGTCCATGAGCATGTCTCCGAATGGGAACGTCGTGTCAGCGCCTGAGCGGACTGTTTGGTCATTGCATGACTGTTGTGTGTTGTGAGGTTGAGGCCTCGAATGGGCGAGGCTGGGTGCAAATTCCGACATGTGTTGGAAGGTTCTAGTGCAAAGTGTCAATCATCCATGGATATTCACGTTAATCTGTTGATGACCAGGCGCCGGATAGCTCGCCTTGGGTGCTGGATGACGAGCACAAGGGTGGCAACGGACGGCAATCAAGGATGGATTGCTGTAGTCACCACAGCTGCCAGAGTTGTCGCGCCTTCCAACATGTGCGGTGCAGACGGTCGCCGTACCTGCTTCATGAGTTCAATCCCCCAGAAACAAGGCCATGGGTTGTATCACTGTCTCGCAGACCGATGCGTTGCAGCCAATTCCGATTGTTGGGTTATGGCATGACGGCTTTGAACTTTGGAGCTGGCATTCTGGCTCATGGATATGAACAAAACCTAGCCGTGTTGCCACTCCCATATCCCCGATAGTGGACGATCTTCTCGAAGAACTGGAGAATCAGGCCGGAGTGCGTCATGTGAGTGCGTCATGTGATTGCGTCATGTGATTGCAAAAAGTAGTCATTGAGCACGGAGCGAGACATTGGCGAATGACGATCCAGGTACATATTCGTAGTTTCTTCATTCGGCACGTGGTTGTAAAGACGTGGAGATGCTGATGGCGGAAACCTGGCATGCACAGCGAAGATGGCCTGCCATGCACAAGCAGGCACACGGCGAATTTTGGCAAGCCCGTGGGATTCGACAGGTCTCGGAGCGAAGGCTCGTTCTCGTGACCATCGCCGCATTGGCATCAGTTGCTGCAGGCCGACGGGCAGTCTTCACTTTGTAAAGCTCTGTAGGAGTCTAGGAATTGTGAGGTACAGGTCATGCACGTCTCGGTCTCGCAGGTGTTGCCAATGTCGGGTGCACGACCATACTTGGATCCAGTGGCTCCCGGTACAGGCCGGTTCGGTACAACAGTTCCAGTTCAACATCCAGTCGAGCATTATGCGTCAGTGCATGTTGTCAGGTGGGCAATGCAGAATCCAGCACTGGTAGCTCCTGTTCTGCTTGACTACGACGTGCAGGAGAATCTTGCTTGTACCACCTGTGTCCTCAACAGCTGTCTCATCGAGCTCAGTTTTGATTGTGCTCCCGCTCCACATGCACCAAGAGCTGCTGTCCTTAGGTATAGAAGCCCTTTGATGGCATCTTTAGCAGATGGGGCCTTGGTGGTCTCTGCGCCGGCAGACATTACAGTCCATCGCTTGGCAGCCAGTGTTGGGTTCTGATGTCCGCTCCGAACAGCAGTAGCTTTCGTTTCACGGTGCGGGCCGGACCCAGGCCAACTTCAATTTGACGTCTGTGTCATCGAATGGGACCGATGCACCGCAAAAGTACATTCTACAGCGACTCAGCATAGTTGGTCACCAGCAGCTTTTGTGTGCCATTTCGAGCACTTCACACAAGCTTGACTGGCAGGCCACCTCTATTGCAGACAGGGGAACTGGCTTGTTCGGTGCATCTGCTGCTGAGGAGCATTTATTTGCGAAAGCCTGCCATCGTCGCAGAAGGAACGAAGCAAGAACTCAGCCACGAGCTAGAGGTTGTTCTGGTGCATCATGAGGCGAAGCATTTCCAAGACGATGCATGCACGACTACTGTCATTTTGGTATAGCGATAGAGACGGCTTGTGTCGAAGTGTTGTGCAGGTGACAGGCACTGGGTATTTTGCGAATGTTATCGTTCCTGTGGAGGTTAGTCGGGAACCCAGGCCTTGGATCGTTACGCACTTTCTTGGAGCTGCCCGCCATTCGCATTCCAAGGTGCCGAACCTGGTCTGGACTTATTGGCGCCTTTAGTGAACCAAGCGGACTTGCCAACACAGGCCTCCAACCGGGTGCTGCAGCTGTGACAGTTGCTGGGAGGGACTGTGCGGAGACATTTGATGTGCAAGGTCGGTGAGACTCAGCCGGTGCTGGTCACCAATTTATTGCCCCTCAAGCTGCAGCATGTTTACCAAGGAGTTGCTTGATTGCATTGCTCAGTCACTACTTGTGGCCTGCGGCTGGAGATTTGCTCGGGCAGACGCGAGAGCCCAGGTTTCCTTCCAGCATTTCTGGGGAGAAATTACGACATCTTGCAATCAAAGCACTGCGGGCGCTCGTGTTCTTATGCGGAATGCAACGATGGCTGCCGGCATAATTTTAGAGCAGTTGTGGAGGTGGTCGCGCAGCACGGGAAAAGGTCGGTGGAAGCTTCCTGCAGCAAAGGCGACCTCGAAGCCGGTCCTCGAGAAAATTTTGAAGTCGTTGGAATGGACGCCAAGCGTTGTTCCAGTTCTTCCCCCGGCACAGACATGGAGCCGCGGTGCGCAATCCACGGCTTGCCGATGTTTGCCGGATACCTTCTCTGAGCAGTAGTATCTTGCACGACCTTGTGTGTAATAAGGATGGTGCAGCCGTGCCCGCGAGGAGGCCCGTGAACAGCAATCGTAATTTTTGTGGGCAGTTGTGTACTAGCCGGTCTCATTGTGCGGGGTGTCAGACCGTGCGCATGGGGATTCATCTCGACCAGGCACTTGCAGCCTTCCGACGGCCACGGATCTGACCTCACAGCTGACAGAAGCAACCCAAGTTCTGAAGGAGGACACCTCGAAGCTGGAAGAAGCGAAGAAGGCACAACAGGATCCGGGACAGATCTAATCACTTCTAGCTACCTAGATTGTCCTTTCTTTTCGTTCCCGATCGTGTGTGCATCACTGTATAGTCACTTCATCATTCCACCCCTCCACGAAGATCATCCAAGCCTTCTCACTCAAGCAAACACGAGTTCCAGGGTCAGCAAGGCAAGCCAACGCGAGTTGATTGATGGTTTTTCAGCAAGTCCCAGCATGGGATGAGACCTCTCAGGTGAACAATCGGAAAGTTTTGACAGCCAGTCTGATGTGTTGCAAGAACGAAGCGCCGCCGACCGTTGGTTCGATGCGGCAATAGTCATGAGATGTCAAATGCATGAGACCCTGCAGGCAATGGATTCATCGCTTCTGGGGTTGACCTCAAACATCTCGAATGTGAGCAATGATGCTTACACCCTGGCGATCAGACGTAGAGATGATCTTCGCAATGCAGAGGCTGCTGTCGATGGTGCGAGCCGCACGGTCAGTACGTTGCAGGAGCAGATCAACAGTGCCAAGGCAGCGGTTTGGGATTCCAACGCACCTGCCCAGACGGGTCCCTCAGTGTCAAGCACGACTGTGGCAACTTCCAATCAAACCACTACTACCACTTCCAGCGTCAGCCCAGCAGTGGCTGCCACTCCGAGTTTTCTGGAAAGTAGTGTGCAAGTGCAGGCTTGCAACGATGGTGTGGCCTCACCATTGGAGGTAGACTTGGCTCAGGTAGAGCACGTGGATGCTACTGCGGCAGGGGCAGCCGAAGCCTTGTTGTTTTGGCGGCTGTCAGCGACACCGTTGCGCCCTGTTGATGCTGCTGCGGCAGAAACTGCAGCAGAGGCTCCGCGATTACGGATGGCGAACCTGGGTGATCGACTTCGGATCTCGGGGGACAAGCCGATCATGGTGCTGCTCGTTCATGGCAAGGAGCTGCCGATCAGTTTCGCTGACATCAGTGTCCCAGGTGAGCACAGCCTTTCTGGCCGTCGAGCAGATGCCGAAATCCAGCTGGTGCACCTTCCAGCGGATCCAACACAAGCCCTGGCTGTGGCTTTATTGATGGATGACGCCGGTGATGCCAGCAATGTCTGGCTACAGCATATGGCCGCCCTTCCACGGGCCGGTGAGGTTGCGCAGGTCCAGGGGTCGGATCCGATGTCGATGCACCCGGCTTTTGCAAGAGGTGTAGCTGGACATTACTATCGCTATAGTGGCCGGCTGCAGAAGTCCAAGTGTGCAAAAGTCAGGCAAGGCAGCTTCGTGATCGAAACTTTTGCAGCATTGTCCTGTCGGAAGTGAAGTCTTCAGACACTCTCATGATCTCTCATGGGCGTGAGTTGTGCTTTGTGGAGGTGGAACATCTTGGAGGAGCGTGGTCACATTAGCAGCCGGCAACTTCTGGAGCTCCGACAGGTCTTGCAGCCCCCTGCGTCTGTCGACAGCTTCTCCGATCCTTCGGCACTGCTTCCGACACTTGGCTTTTGGCAGGTTAGCATCTGACATGTTTTTGGAATCACTGTGCCGCTGACGGTATGTTCAGGATGGTGCTACCTCGCCACAAGGTTTCCTTAGCATCTGTGAGACTTGGCTTTGCAAGCATCGCTGCCCACTCGACTAAACTCGGTCGCTGCCACTGAGACAAAAATGGGAGCGTAATGCATCTGCAAGGCGTCAGAGTACCCAAACTGTTCCGGCTTCTGCCGTTGCTGGCAGCCCGGACTCTGGGCATGCAAGGGGAAATGTTGAGGGTCTTTGATGTTCGTTCCTGTTGCAAACCTCGTTTGAACCTTGAGGTTTCCAGCGATTCGGAGCCGACTCCAAACTTGAAGTCGTTGCTGCTCTCCCTCCCGCGACGAAAGCGTGGGACGGCACTTTCAGCTTGATGTAGCGCTACTGTTCATGCACCGACGAATCGACGAAGCAGACTGGAGCGGGCAATGCTTGGAAAAGATTTGCATGAAAGTGTTTCGCTTGAGCGATGACCTACTGACCTACTGGCATGCTTGCGAGCGCCTCGTGGTCTTCGCAAGGCATCAGCCGGTTGCCCTTCGACCTTCAAATAGGCCCATTCCAAGCACTGCTTCAGATCATGTAGCTGCAAGGCCTCCAAGTGCTTGTCTTGAGGTCTGGGATCTACAGCCGAGAAGACTATGCGTCCGATGGAAGGCCGGAGAAGAAGCAGAAAGAAACCTCCCCAGGTCCAGAAAAAGATACTAGTAAGTCGTGGCCGCGCTGCGTCCAGGTCCAAAGACCGACCACCGTGGTCGGAGCCCGATGTTGTGGCACATCTCGATCAACATTTCTGAAGATGAACCTCGATGCACAAGACAGAGGACACGTGTGGTGATGTATCCGCGTCGGAGGCCACCCTCCAGTATCCGGTTTGCTGAGCAACTCCCTGGTCACAGCAGGTTCATGGCTGTTGTGCTTCCGTTGCTGCAGCTTTGGCCATCATGGAAGCATGTTGCACTCGTGCAGGGGTAGTTCCGACAAAACGTATTTCCGAGCATTTGGTTTCCGGTCTTTTGTATCAGATGGTGTAGACTGTGCAGACCTTGAAGACGATCAGAGGCATCTGTTTCAACATACAGCAACAACAAAATACAAACAAACCGCCATGTCGAGCACAACGAGTGCGACGGTTGACAGTGCGGACATCGTCAGGCTGAATAAAGAGCGTGACTTTCGGGATGCTCTGAGAGGATTGGCTGCACACTGTCAGGCTAATTCTTCAGTATCTTGGCAGCACATAAAGGAGCCGTGTTTCTGCGAGCTCTTGCTTGCCGGGAGGTTCTGCAAAGAGAACAGTCTCTTCAGGCCCGGTAATGGCATGCCGGTTGATCCGCAGAGATGCCAACGAGTCCCTTGCTAGTAGGACGCTGCAGTGTCTCCAAGAAGAGTCGCGGGTGTCTCTGAATGCGGTGGATTCCCTGGATGCACTCCTGAGCGATGTGAACAAAGGCCTTTGTTAAGTCTAGCCCTGTGGCAAGCGTTCAGCTGAAATTGGTAGCTCGGCATGCGAATCTGCACGGCAGCAGGTCATTGGGATACTGTCCTGCACCTTGCCTGCACTTCACGCATCACTGGAGTTGGATGTTACTGCTCCGCTTTTGAGGCAGGCAGTGTCGTACTTAAGTTTGCCGCCGAACGTCCTCCAGGATTTGTACAGCCAGGCCTGGACGGCCTCTGTGTACATATGTGTCGCCATCAATCTCTTTTTCTCTGAAGGTGGTGCTGGAGCTCGCTGAGCTGCGCGAGGTCGAGACGGCCCATCATCTCTTACGCGAGACGGCCCCAATGAACGCACTCAAGCAGGCAAATCCCGAAAGGCGCTCGAGTTTTGCCAGGGAAACGGCAAGATTCCTGGGTTGCCTGTGAGTGCGTCGGCAGGTATTTGCGAGTTGAGGCGCCGAAGCCGCATAAAAGCTTGGCGTGCTTGCATTTGCAGAATTTGGTCAGCACGTTGTGGTGCCTAAGGCTTTAGTCAAGAAGCACCATTTCGATGCATCGGAAGCCTACGAGGGCATGAGCAAGGAGAAGATCCGAGGAAACCTTGCTCAGAGCATAAGCAGCATACCTGCAACAGAGCAAGTTGTTGACAACATTCCAGTGCCATTTTAAACCAGCAAGATCAGCAAAGGGATTCCCTAGCCGAGGCAAGCACGTGCAGGACCGCTCTTCTTTCTACGAGCTTGTATCGCAACTTGCTCATGAGACCATGTATGCCTTTCAGACGCAGGTGGCTCCTCCATCACGGCTGCTGGCGCTCGTCGGTCAGGCCATGAAATGGCAGCAGCATGTGGGCCTTCTCCCCAAGAATGCTGCTTGCTGGCATGAAGCGTGGCCTCACCGTTGTTCTGCCTGCTCATCACCTGGTCACTAGCTGCCACTACTGCAAATTCTGGGATTTCCTTTGTGCAGCAGTGCGGATGGGGCAGTGCCAACAGCGAAACCACATTTGACCCTCAGTGGTGTGCTGCACGCGGATGCATACGGTGGTTTCTGAGTCGCTTTGATCTCACGACGGGTGCAATCTCATGAGCGGTATGTTTTCCCATGCAGTTCCCACACCTTGTGCCTCGATGTGCGGAGGCCCTGAATGCTGGATCTTTCAGCTCGGGTTTGGGCAAATCTAGGGTTTACTGATGTTTACTGTGTTGAGAATCGGCCCCTGAAACAGTTGAACTCCTGTTTAGGGTTCATCTGCCATCCTGTATGGGCTGTGGAAGCCACAAGATCGACTCGGCGCAGGAGAGACTGTTAGACTTATATTCGCGGGCATAGTTTCCTCCTGGCGAGCCGAGAGAAGATACTTCCAGCATTTTTACAGCAGCATGTAGGATGAAACTCTTTGCAACAGACTGTGTGCCGGTCCACCCGGCAGTTTGCGTAAATGGCTTCACGGTCTCAAGGCGGGGGGGGATTCCATCGCTGTGTCAGGAGGCCAAGGCTGCCCAAAAGTCAAAGGTCTTGTTTTCGGCTGTCGATTTGCAGGTTGCTGCATGCATTTGCGGCATCTGAAAGCTAAGGCGAGGATTGACGTGTTCAGAGGTGTGGCCAAAGATGCCGAGGTCGAGGCCGAAATGTGCCCGACCATGGTCGCAAGGACGGTGCCTTGGTAGAACGTGGGCGCGCGGGTTGCTCATCAGTTCTTCTTGTGGGGGGTGGTGCTGTGAGGTGAAATTCGGCTCGAAATCCCATCCGGAATGTGTGACATTCTCGCCGGATGGCCAGTTCTGCGTGTCGGGTTCTGTCGACGGCATGGTGGAAGTTTGGGACCATCAGACTGGCACTCTGAGGAAGGATCTCCAGTATCAGGATGAGGGCAGCTTCATGATGCATGATAAGGCTGTGATTGCTGTGGCCTTCAACAAGGAGTCGGAGCTTCTCGCCACGGGTTCTCAGGATGGTCAAATCAAGGTCTGGCGGATCGCCACGGGCCAGTGCGCCCGGCGCTACGAGAAAGCTCACAACCAAGGGATCACCTGCATTACCTGGGCCAAAGACTCCTCGCAGCTGCTGACCGGATCCTTCGATTTTACGGCCCGCGTGCATGGAATCAAGTCTGGTAAAACGTTGAAGGAGTTCAGAGGACACAAATCCTATGTAAACTCGGCAGTCTACACAAAAGACAATGCTCGTGTTGTCACGGCATCTTCCGATGCCTGGCTGCCTGGAATACGTCGCGTTTCCACTCATCATTGACAGCTCTCGGCTTCCGCCATCTTCCGAGGATAGCCATGTCATTGTCTACGACGCCAAGACAACAGAGATCATCAACACGATCACCCCCCCTCCGCCTTCTCACTGCAGCTCCATCATGGACTACTCTGTAAACGCTGTGTCTTGGCGGAAGGAAGGTTTGCTGGAAGGAATTAGCGTGGAGAACACAGTGTGGTGAAAGCAAGCTGCAACCTCAAGGCTATAATGGCACCGAAGATACCAGGATACAGCGAGCACGAGGACCTAGTCTTCGAGCCTTAGAGAGAATAAGATGTGCTTGCAGGTGAGATTCCTGTCTACCGAGTATCGGAACCTCGAGTGGCAAAGCATGGTCTGAGGTGTGCACGCGAACCAACACAATTCTGTTACTCTGCAGCACATGGCCTCGGGCAGTGAACTGCTTCCATGCCTTCCGTGCTCCGGTGATAGTGCACTAAGCAAAAGTGCAGTGTTGTAAGTGGCGGACATCGTTGACATTCATTTCGGCAGAAGGACGCATCTCTGTTTGCATACGTGGGTGTGCATACTTGTTTGTTTACTATACGCACGGATGAGCACATGCAAGACGTTCGCTTGCTTTCTCTAATGCTTACTTTGAAAGTTGTTTAAGTTTAGGGTGCTTTCAGACGAGTCTGCTGGGCTCGATGGGCCACGCGAGTCACGCTGCCACTGCTCATGCTGGCTCATGCATCTCAGTGTTCGGTAGCTTTCGACCGTCTGAGTCCCGCATCCCATCAACGAGTGCCATTTCCCCGAAGCCAAATCACTAGGGTAGACTTGTTTTTGGTTCCCTGCGGCAGACACCAAGTATGTTTTACAAGTGTTGCTCGTGCTGCATTTTGCATCATTTTCCAATTTGGAAGTTTTCGGTTTCGACTGCGATCCTAAGACAGGCCTCTGAAGTTCGATTTGCCCAAATGTGTTTGTCGGAACTGTTGGCCCTGCATACTTGGGTTTGTTGTTGCGATCACAGAAGCCCATTGCTGGGAGAAACCGTTGGCGGGTCGTGCAGTTATGATTCGCGAGGAGCTTCCCTGACAAGCTTCGCTGAACACATAGAGAGAGGCTTGTCAGCAGTCTCTGATGCTTGCTTCCTCTGCATGGCAACCGAGGCTGATGAACCTCGCGGGGCAGGCCAGTGACGGCTTTTTTTGCGCATTTTCCAAGTGGAGTCTAGGTCGTAGCCAAACTTTCAACATGGCCTAAGGTACTGAAAAGTTTCTGCTCTGGAAAGCGCGACAAAGGCGATTTTGTCGCAATGACACCCGCCTGTATTTGGTCAGTGAAAGGGCTGGCCGAGTTGTCGGCAAGGGAGTTTGCAGGCCTGGTTTCCTTGTCCGTAAGGACGACATCTCCGAAAGGCGAATGGCTGTATGGGGTTGCGGAGGACAACACAATGCAACTTGGCCGTGGTGGATACCTCCAGTTGCCATAACAGTTAACACATGAAAGTAGGCTTCAACCATAAGGCATCTGGCCAGCGGGTGGGGCGAGAGCACACAATGCTTTGCCAGGTATTGCTTCTCCGTGTCATCAGGGTCCCTCGAGCAGACATTGAAGGTGGCAGACAAGGAGGCGGGCATTAAATGGCGTTGAAGAGAAGAGTTGTGCTGGTTGCAGTATGTTGCAGTTGAAGTCGTGTTGATCCAGGTCATCGGTATCGCGCACCATCCTTCTCGGAACGTGATAGCCGGTTTCGCTGGTGATGGGTCCATGGTCTTTATGAAAGCCTGAAGTCTCGGCGAAATGCACCGGAAAAAGATGCACCAGCACGACCCTAAAGTCTGCGCTGGGAGAGGCTTCTGCAGACGCGTTAGCACGCCAACAAGAGCGCGGGTGTTGTGAGGTCGGATTCTCGCTCGAGACGGGAGGGGCCAGACATCTCTCGCAGCATTTATGTCAACAAGGACGCTGTTCGAGTCAGTGTTCGGAACAGTCCTGACATGCTTCGTTTTGCAGAAGACGTGGCGCAAGGATCCTGCAGACACTGCCGTAGGTCTGTCGCCTGGCGCACAGAGCACCCCAGCTGCAGGGAGCACGTCGGATCGGAGCGCGCAGCATCCCAAGCCCCTGCCTGGCAGCGGCTAGCATTCATGTCGTTCCCAAGGCGACGATTGCTACGAGGCCAAGATCGTTGCAGAGCTTTTGCCGGGAACTGCTGAGTGATGCAGGTGCCGCAGGAGACACCACCAATGCGCAAAGGACGAGAGCAGCGGCAAAGTAGTGGCTGGGATGCGGATTACAGCTGTGTGTGGCAACCTGTGTGTCATCCTGTCTGCAAAATCACGGCCCCGTCGCACCAACACATGCTTGCTTTCAGGTATGTCTCGCAGCCGTAGTTCTCGAGGAGGTGGCTTCTGCGGTTGTGATCCGCCTGAAGCAACCTGCACCGACAACTTTTCTTCACATCCTCTGCTGTTTCAGCTCATGCCTGTGTGTTTTGGAAAGTTTCTTATTCTGAACATAGCAACCGGCCGTTCAAGGACAAGTCTTGGACACAGTCCAGGGGCCTATGAGTCGATAGAGCAGCGAATGTCCGTCATCATGATCGTTTCTGCATCTTAGCAAACGGCAAATCTCGGCATGCGTGGCTTGCATCGCTTTTGCCTGGTGCCTGGTGTTGCCTTACTGGCAAGCCTACGTCTGCAGGTTGCCGGTTTGTAGTACGTAGGTGTAGGGCCAAGCTTGACACAGCTGACACGCCAACACACATACAACATGCTGGCTCAGGCAGGTCCGCATGCATGCCGCTCTGCAGTTGCAGTAGCTGGTGCGAGGCGCGGGCACCCAGGTTCCGTGCTGTCTCAGCCCTGGCATGTTGCTTGGAAAAGGCGTGGGCGTAACACCTCCTGCTCTCGAGCGACTTTCCTCACGCACATTGAGCTTCTCCAGGTACCTAGGTCCACAATGGTCCACACTTGCGGAAAACGGAACCCAGACGAACCTGCAGGAGCTTCGTGCAGATGCTGCCGCCCCTGTAGACCGGAAAGGAGCGGGAGCCGTGGCACTTTCCGGACACTTGGGTGAGCAGCAGGAGCCCATCCAGCAACAGCTTGCTTGTTGCCGTAGCCCAGCCATGAAGCGAGGATAGAGGTCGGGGCCGTCTTCCTCATTTAATTTGCCAAGTTGCCAAGAAGTGCACGTCGTTGTGTCATCGAGGACCTTAGCTTTGAGGTCCTGGTGGCGGTGATGCTCTCGGCGCAGACAAAGGCGCACCGACCGTGTTCCATGTCTGCTGCATTGTCCATGAAGCACCAGGATGGCGTCACCTACAAGACAATGCAAGATCTCCGAGCTCATGGTCTCAGTGCACAGAAAATCGTGGATATGCCGATTGAACGGCTCACCAAGCTTGTCGGAAAGGTGGAGGGCAAGCCGGAAGTGGCTAACTAGCACGGCAATATTCTGCAGTTTGAAGGGCGGCTGGCCCCTTGCAGGTCAACTACCACCACCGCAAGGCTGCGTACATCAAGAAGACTTCCCAGCTATTGCTCGAGAAGTATTCTGGCAGTGTCCCAGATCAACTCTGGCAGCTATTGGAACTTCCAGGCGCTGAAGTTTAGGAACTCTCCACGGACTCGGCGGCCGACAAGCAGTAGACCAGTGGACTGCAGAATTCACAGATTCCGTAGCAGCTAGCAGCTGGTCGAGCTATGCTGGCAGGTGTTGGCGAGAAAACTGCCTTGTTGTACTTGCAAGTGGCCAAGGGCAAGGTGGTAAGGGAGCTTCAAATGTCAATGTGGAGCATTGTCTCGGCATTCCAGCAACCTGCCAGGTGGAGGGCATTGCAGTTGATACCCATGTGCACAGAATTGCTAATGCTTTGGGCTGGACCAGCTCGCCGACGAAGACGGCGCAGCAAACACGCCGCGAGCTGGAGAAAATGATTCCTCGACGAATGTGGGGGATGATCAATCCGCTGGTGGTTGGAGCTTTGGACTTGTGAGTGCTCCCTGCATATTTTCGAGAGTCTTTTGTAAGCCAAAAAGAGATGTGTCCTGCTCCTTTTTCTGGGCGTGAGCGAGGATTCGGCCAAGAGCTTCGCGAGAACAGGTCCGAACTTCTGCGAAAATGCCTTGGATCCAGCAACCCGCGTTTAGCGCTGCAGCTGCTTTCCGACTGCGGCATGAAGGTGCGGAGGGAGTGCCTTTGCTGATCAGAAAGAAGCTTGGTTCTCGACCTTTTCCTAGAAAGCGGCCCTTCTATAGTATATGTGCCATTCTATATGCATTGCTGTGATCGAGACTTTCCATACTTGTAAGCGGATTACAGATGTGATCCAAGGATGGAAAAAGCTGGCCTGGACACTCAGAACTACGACGGATGAAACTGCCGCATGAAATGCAGAGCGAGCGTCAACAGCAGAAATGGGGGGTTCTTCAACCGACACGTCATGTGGTCTTTGAAGAAGCTCTTCCACGAGCAAGTTTCGCCTTGGCCCTTTACCGATTCAAGCAACGTGGGGAGCTTTGCAATGACCTGACAAGTGCGCTCCAGCAACCACAAGCTGCTGAAGGATGAAGCGGAAGGTTCTCACTATCTTGCGCAGACTTGGGCGAGGTTTTTCACGCAGCACAGCAGAGCTACCATGGACCAGACAAGAGAAGCAAAGTGGGAGAAAAGGCAGTGGAGCCTCTTCACGGTACTTTTGATTCTGTGATGGTCCCAGCAGACGACAACGGTTCTCCAGGTTCAGAGCTTGACAGATCCGCATCACCCGTGCCAGTGCCCCAGTCTTGACGTGCGTGGCAGCGCCCTCGCGCTCGGGCAAACAGGCTGCCCTACGCGTTGACGAGAGATGGCAACATGAATCTTCGTGTCTGCGAAACAACTCCTGATCGGAGTTAGGGGCTCAGCCACTGGCTACAGTTTACAGCCACTGGCAGGGTCTGCGTCCAATGGACACGGAAATCTTGTGTGGTTATTAAAGCTAGCCTGTACCGTATGTATTTCATGTACCCACGTCCAATTCTCCAAGGCGGTGAAGCTTACAAACACCCTCGCACATTTCAGTCTGTGTAATGCTGCTTGAACTGCCCTGTCATCATTCTCATGTTCATTCTCATTTTCATTTTCGTGCTACTCTTGTGGCTTGCTATCAGACCATGTTCTATGCAACTGTTGTGAGCAATGTGTGCGGTGTCGCCCTCCGCATGTCCATCCTGTCGTAGTCCCGGTAAAACCATGTCTGCTGGCGGTACTGGTCCGTGCTTTCCATACTGTTGACAGGATGGCAGGCGCAATTGAAATTGAACATGTTCTCCATACCCCCGTGATGATGAATCGCACGCCTACTTTTCCACAGCGCTGACTGCGGACATGTGATGCCCATGGATGCTCCGAGCTTAGATTCTCTTGATGCGTCTTCGGCCACTGGCCTTCTGTCTTCGGCCACTGGCCGCAAACGAAGCGAAACTGTATTGCCGTCTGTCCGGATTTAAGTGTTGCAACAGGCAACGCCCGGCAGGGTGGAGTAACAATAGTTGCTTGACCACACGCGGCTCCCTGCCAAACCTGGTCTCTGCCACTGGCAACATGAATCTTGGCCATGTGCCACAGTTGTAGTGTTGTTTTGATGAATGCAAACAGATGCATCGGGACATCTGGGGACAGACTGGACGATGGCGCTGGTATGACAACCACGAACGAAAAACAGCAGCTTTGTGCTACCTGCCCATGTGCAGCTTTGCGCAGGTCTGTGGGCTCCTCTGTGCTGGACGCGGCCGGATTTCCCAGCTTGCTGCACTCGGAATGCGGCCTGTCAGCACTCGCTTTTGCAGGACGCTGAGCGTTCGCCGAGCAAATCCGCTCCACCTGGCACTTCAGAGGTTGGAAAAGTCATTTGTGCGGTCCAACTTTGCTGGGTGTCGAATCTGAAGACGTTCCCTGAGGCTATGCAGGGAGCACATAGGTGGGCAGAGTTGTTTGCCCTGCTCCGAGCGCAGAATTTTGAGACAGACGCTGTATCAGGACGATGAAGAGTTCCGGACAAGCCAGCTGGCCAAGACATGCGTTTTAGCTCTGTGGCTATCTGATCGGAGTCATTCGAAGTCCGTAGCGTTTTCACTCAAGACTTACCTTACCCAGCAAAGCAAGAAGTGGCATCCGCGAGCAGCCCTTGCCTCGGGAACATGGGCGAGTCTCTGCGATTCGCTTTCGTTATGCCGCAGCTCGGTTCTATCTCAATCCGACTTGTCGCTGCAATCTCACGTTGTCCGTTTGCGGACTTCAGTGCCCTCCCGAGTATCTCCCAAGCTGAGGATGGCAACTGGACACCTGAACCCTTCCCTGCCCCTGGCCCGCTCCTTGATCCAGCTCGGGCATGAAGTTCACTACTTGTCTCGGGCCTGGTTCTGAGTCCTGAGTTCTCAGAATCGGGACGGGGTTCTTGTCTCTTGCTGGACACCTCTCGTTTCAGGAGGCAGTTCGAGCTGCCATTGAGAAAACGGGAGCAAGCTTCACCGATGCTGCTGAGGTGTCCAGGCACGTTTTTTTGATGCAGCCAGGTTGCTGCAGCCTTCCCTCTTACCTCGGGGTTTGCTTCGCTCGCTCCGAGTAATGCCAGGAGCAAGTGGAGCTCTACGAGAATCGCGAGCAGGAGTGCTGAAAAGTGGGCGTAGCTGTGTATCAGCCACAGCCTTTGCAGGACATCATGGGCGCATTCCGGACTGTGGCAAGGGAGTATGGCATGGAAGATGCTGCTTATCTTGCATTGGATGATGCCAGGGCCACATAACATACTCCCACAAGTCACCGGTGCTGAGGCACCGATGATGGTTGGCATCTCCACCATTGCTCCTCTTCATCTGGAGCTTCAGCTGCCGGGGACCATTCGCTGGCTGCAGCGGTTGCAGCCACACGTGGTGCTGTTCTGTCCAATGATGAACCGAAGCATAAATTAGAAGCACGTTCAGGTTCAGGTCATTTGATTGCTTCTTTTCCCGTGCTTAACATTTCATGGAGCGTCAGTTGCTGAGGAATGCCGAGGCTGTTTATGCCGCCAAGACCCTCCAGATACCTTCAGTAGGCTTGTGGACTTTTGCGGGTCCGGGCGGCATGGTCGGCGTATTGAACATGTTCGTGCAACAATCCGGAATACCCATGGAAGAGATTATGGCCCGAGTTGAGGCATTTCAGCCAATGAAGGACTGCGTGGCGAGGCTCAAGGAAAACTACAACGTCACGTTCGATTTCAGGAAGTCCATCTCGCCAATGGGCTTCTTAAGCACGATGTGCGAAACAAGTTTTAATTTGATTACAACAGCCGAAGAGTTCCAGGACCCTTTTCCCAGCGAGTTGTCTCGGGCTTACGCCGAGGGCGGGGCGAAGTTTGAGTACGTTGGTCCTTTGTTGGAGGATGATGTGCCAGAGCTCGAGCTTGAAGCCGAGAAGGCCATGAAGGCCTTGGCTGAGGCCCGTGCTGTGGGCCGCAAAGTGGTGCTCGCCAGCATGGGCACTATTTTGGTTTCGGACACAGATGATTGTGGTTGGCGAGATGTACCACGGGACGGCTCAGAGCAACCCCGTGGGTTAACTGGCAAGCAGCTGTGTCAGGCAGCTTGGAGTGCCGTCTTCGATGCCTTCGGTGCTGCTTCTGATGAGGCCCCTCAAGCCCCGCTGCTCATAGTCGCCGTCGGTCGGCAGCCGGATGCGCTCACGGACATAGACATCCCCGGAAACGCGCTCTGCTTGCCGGTTCTTCCTCAAGTTCCGCTGTTGAAAGCAGGTGTGGACTTGTTTTTGACCCACGGCGGCCAGAACAGCTTCATGGAGTCCCTGTCTGCTGGGGTGCCAGTGGTGGTTTGCCCTGGGTTCGGGGACCAAGTGGTCAACGCAATGAAAGCTGAGGCGATGGGAGTAGGTCTTCAGGTGCAGAGGCCCGTTCCACCACATGGAGAGGAAATGGCCGCCATTGCCAGCTACCGTGCCGACGTTTGTGCTGCTTTGGTCAGGGCTTTGCAGGAACCTCAGTTTGCTCAGAAAGCGCAGCGCTGCAAGGAATGTCTGCGAAACGCAGGAGGGATTTGCAAAGCCAGAGAGCTTCTGTTCGGGCTCGTCGGCCAGTCCTTCCCCAAGCTCCTCGGACACGGCCCTCCTGTTTTGCCCACAAGCACAAAGGCGTCAGATGTGCCAGGCACGGAGTCGCCTCCAGCTGAGACCTCGGCACCTTAGTGGGTGTTGTGCTTTTTCTTTGGGTGGTTTTGATTCTCGATTTTCAATTTCGCGATGTTTGAAACAGAATTAGTCGACATGCACAGCCAGTCGACCCTGGCTTGAAAGCCAGGAGTGCTTGCGGGACCTCCGTCTGTTGGATAGAGGTTGCAGGATTCGTAGGAACAAAGAGATGTTTAGGTGCATGGCGGCCCTCGCCACAAGCTTTGGGCTTCGAATTGCACGAAATGGCACAGCTCAGAAATGCAGCAAAGCTTGCATCTGATGCAGCCGCGTGAACTGGTGGCGAAAGGAACATGTCAAGGACGGACTTGACTTCATTCTGCTATGCATACTCTAGTCTTTGCCTCCGCAATCTGCAATCCTGCCCTCTTCCATTGAGTAACGGAAACTTCTGAGGCGACGAAGCGCGGAAAAAAGAAGGCCGTGGCCTGAACCCGAAGCATGGCCGTGCCAAGTTGCCTCCTTTTTTCGCCTTTCGGGGTGGTTCAGGTGCGAAGACGAGTGGCCAAAGTGCCCTCTGCACCGCCAGCCGCGCCTTCGCCGCCTTCGCCGGTGGCGCTGCCTGGCCCTGGCCGGCGCGGCCTCGGCGCCGCGCAGACAGCGCCTGCGCATGCGCCGCCGCCGCAAGCACAGGCCCAGGATCTCTCGGAACATCTGGGAGAGAGCGAGAGAGTGAAAGAGAGAGAGAGAGAGAGAGAGAGAGAGAGAGAGAGAGGGAGTGTGGCCGGGGGGCCTCGCACGCCTCCCACGCCCAGCAGAAGAAGAGGGAGTGTCGTGAGCGGGGAGCTTGTTAGGCAAGTTTTTACGGGTGTGGGCTGTTTGTGTTATATGCCTGCTTTGGTCGGACGCTCAGTCGGGGGATGCAAGTTCCTTGTATGGCTGAGCCTCCTAGCGAAAGTTGCTGGGGGGAAAGGACACCCTGCCAAGTGATGCGGGGGTGCGTTCGCGCACCGAGAAGCTGCCTGGACGCTGCAGCTTCTTCACGCCCAGTAGCAAGCAAGCAAGCGAGAGAGAGAGTGACCCGCAGAAAGCAAACAAGGAAGAGAGAGAGTAGCTGTTTGTAACTGCCAGAGTCCTGCATGGTCCTTGCAAGGAGCGGGGGGCGATTTCCAAGATACTAGTGCCTTTACAACCATCGTTGTGTTGTTCAGCCTTTTGTTTCCGGAATAGAAGTGCGGCCGCCCTCGTGCTGGTACCTGTAGTTAGAGTTGGAGGGAACACCGATGACGCGAGTGGGACTATGGTGGGGGAAGTAGGGTATGCTCGCGGGAGCGTGTCAAACCCTCAACCCCGGAATGGACCAGCAAACCGAAATGGTTTGTATGTGCACTGGTAATTGGTTGAAAGCACACCATCATAGATACCGTGCTACCGCTTTCTACTTTCCCTGCAGCCAGACCTCGCGAGCGGGCATAGACTTCCAAGCAATGTGAGAGGGAAACAGGAATGGACCTCGCAGACAAAGCTTTGCGTGCCGCGGAGGGTAGGCCTTCGGGCCAGGGTGCGTGACTGCATGCACCCACCCACCCTCACCCCTTTGCAAGCAAGCAGGCAAAAGAGAGAGAGAGAGAGAGAGAGAGATAGGGGGCAAGATGCCCGGGGGTCCTGATCGACCCCTATGCCCGAGAGAGAGAGAGAGAGACATAGGGGGATTTCCGGTGCAGACCTCGTGCCCCATTCTGAAGGGGGCCGAGAAAGGACTAAGGGATTTCGGGGCGCGTTCGCGCGAGCTGGACAAGGCAAGGGGTGGGCTAGCAGTGCCCAATTACGGAGTCACGGCTGATAAGAGGGACTGCTCAGTTCCAGCTCGCTACCACCCCAGAACGTCTCACACACAGACCGAACGTGGACACTCAGCGTAGCGCTGGTGCGCAGTGTTGGGGAGATCTTACCCCTTGACCCCACACGCTGTGCAAGCAAGCAAGCAAGGGAGGGCGGGTCTAGAGCCTGCGGGTCGCACGCGACCCCTACGCCCGGCTGAAAGAAAGAAAGAAAGAGAGAGAGCGCTGGGGAAGAAGAGCAAGAGGAAGCTGTCTTGGGATTTCGAGCTACTTGTGCTCGCGGTGGCTGGAGCCAAATGCCTTTGGGGTCGATGCAGTTCCGACCCTGTGCTCCCCAGTTCCTGGGTCTACGTCGCCTCAACTTTTAGAGGAGAAGCGGCTTCAGGAACTAGAGAGGCATGCTTCTCTGCCACATGTCCACAGAAACAAGTGTAGGTTGAAGGTTCGCACCGATGCATACTGTGGTGCCGTTTTGCAGTGCTCAAGCGCTGTTCAACAAGCCTTGGAGACTGCGGCAATCATGGGATTTGGAGGCTTGGAAGAGAGCAGTTGGCGCAAGAGTGTGTCATTCATCAGCTGAGCCCTTGCCTGAGGCAATGGCAAAGGCTGGGGCGGGTGGGGCTGGGCACCGCCGATGATGTGGTTCAAGGGCTTCGGCAAGGGCAAGGGCTTTGGCCGCCGCCGCGGGCCTCGGAACCTTGTCGGAACTGGATTCAAGAGTTGCTACTGGTGTACACATGGCGGAGCATAGATGCGCTTGGGCGGCTTGCTGTCAGGATTGAGCCTGAGATGAAGTCTTGGGCTCGGATCTGACTGAGTGAGCTTGTCTTCGTTGCCTTCTCAAACTGCCATGCTAATGTTCCATTGTTTCCGCATTCCATTCCGGTGATCGCATGATGAAACGAACAAACCGCATTAGCTTTGAGACACTGTGATTTTCCATGTTGTTGCTTACTTCTAGCTGCTTTCGCGTGCGCTTCATTCCTTTCCGTGTTCCATGTCCACGATCGCGTACCAAAATGAAACCGCGTTAGCTTTGGAACATTACTGTAGGGATTCCCATGTTTTTGCTTATTTCTAGCGACTTTCGTGCGTGCTTCATTTTTTCCGCGTTTAATTTCCACGACCGCATTTCATACAACGAAATGTACCCATGTTCCAGCTGTGTTGGGAGGGAAAGCCCGCTTAGATGGCTGCGCCTGCACCGGGCACCGGGCGCTTGCGCTGGCTTGCAGGATCTGGATTGGCAACCTCCCCGAGGATGCGACTTGGAAGGATCTGCAGACCTTGGGAAACACCGCGGGCGCCACCCGCTGGGTTGAGGTCTTCCGTGGCAAAGGCACGATGCACGAGGTAATGCGAGGGCGCTGTGTATGTCTCCTGGAGCCCTAGAGCACAGGCAAGGGCACGGGCATGATTGCCTACAAGACGGCAGAGGAGGAGCACTCGTAGATCTCAAATTCGCTCAGCCTGTCCCGACGCTAACTCTAAGCTCTTCGGCAGGTGGCTGCTGCGATGCAATCTCTGCCAGGCCAAACGATCAATGGACAACCGATCCAGGCGGGTACTGTGACCACACAGACGCGTCTGTGGAAGAAGTTTAACCCCAGCACTTTGTTCTCAACCTGTGCAGGTTGATTCTTGGCAGAAGGCCCCACCAGCTCCGCCGGCGTAGTGGTCGACTCAGGGCCATGGCAGTGGGCATTAAGTGGAGGATGGAGTTTAAGGAGACCGTCTGCATACCACTAGTCTGCTGCCATTATTTGCCATATGCAAGCTCCCACAAAAGCTTTTTCCAAGGTTCGGCCTGTACCTTACTGGCTGTGACCAGCCGCTTCAATGGCTTCGACTCAAAGCGCTCACCAGGGCGCCATGTGCAACATCTGACATTGATTGCAAATTCGCGACACAGGATGGACTTGCCAGGCTCCATATACTTTTGCCGACAAAGATGCATTGCCAGCATCTGTGTAGTTTCAGTGGCTGCGACTCTCTCAAGACCGCATGGCATACTCGACTGATAAAAAATCGCGATGGTGGCTTGACATGCAAAAGTAGTTCCGAAGCTGGTGGCACTGCAACTTAAAGGAGTTTTCCAAGACTTGCCACTACTTGCGCCACTACTTACACCAAGTTCATTGTTTGCTCTTGAATTTTTCCGTGCTTGAGAGGCATCGGGACGAGATGGTCCCCTGCCACCTGGGCCTGTAGCTCCGAGTGCACAGAAACCGGAGAGGCAAGCTGCACGGTGCTGCGGGGGGGTGCATGGAGCGGCTCTGCACTCTGCAGTAGCGAGCATTGGAGCCTGCCAGTGTTCGGCCCTGTGCTAGGTTCCTGCCCGAACCTTCATGTAAGTGCTGTTCAGGGCACGTCGACGTCGCCGATCTGCTCCCACTGACGGCCAGGACTGCTGTTTGTACTGGGATCAGCTGTGCTTCTTCTGCGTGAAGTTCATAGGCTTCGGCTGAAGTTTAGAGGCCCGTCTGGTAGTAAGGCTCCAGCCAGTTGTGGGGCATGCCCCTTGCCTCGATCGCCAGATCGCTGAATCCCGTTGAGGTTTCATGATTTCACGGTCCGACGTGGCCCGGAATGATACAAATCCATGATCCCCGGTTGCCAGCAGCACAGATACCTCCACGGTAAGCAAACGTTTGCAGTAGCATAGGAGCTGGCGTCGCGGCGAGGTGTACCTGCAGCACTGAGACAGACCTGCAAGGGTTGATGGAGCAGCGTAACTGCCTTGCAGTTGCTCCGCCGCCACGGCGCACGGCAGCCAAGTCTGCCCCCGCACCGCCGTCCGGCTTGGCCGGCACCCCACAGAATGCGAATACACTTGCCGTAAAGGAGAACGCCCTGGCATATTGAGGCTCCCACCACTGACGTTCTGACTGTGGAGCTGACAGAGCAGCTCCTGCGAGTGTTGCCTCTTCTTGGCATGAATTCCTCTTCCGCGAAGTCTGAGTCCCCGCTGAGATAGTCAGGCTCCGATGGCTCTCATGGAATGCTTGGCTTGCACATGTCCCATCCATACGTCTCCACACCCCGCGGACTGAGTCTGCAAGCAAGGAACCCTACTGGTTCAGGTGTGTCTGGAACTAGCCCAAAGGCCCGTTGCAAGCAAACACCGTAACAAGTGGCTTTCCATAACGAGGTTTATCAGACGGTTAAAGCGGAAGATCTGCCTCAGCCATGAAGCGGCGGTGGGAGATGCCCGACACACACTGGCATGAGGGCAAGGCGTGGCGGCGTGGAGGATGGCAAAGAGTGCCAGGCTTTGCTGTTTTTGCTGTTTTCTGCGGAAGGCGAGTCGATTTCCCCCCAACTTCGTGCCTCGAAAGATGTGTGACCTGGCAAATGAAATAGCAGCACTTGCAACGTAATCTAGTATGTCGGATTCGAAATTCGAGGTACCTACATGCAAAACAGCGGCTTTTGCCAGAAGGGGGACGTCTGCACCTTTGCCCACTCGCTGCAAGAGCTGGCCCCGGGCCCGCCGGGCCCTCCGGAGCTCCAAACCGCGAGCCCGAGCCCCGGGCGACCCCTGCGACACCTGCGGGTCACTTCGACTTTAGTCTACTGTGAACTCCCGGAGGCGAGGCGATCGAGCTGGAGGATCCGCACGAGATCCATAACTTGGTGGCCGGGGAAGTGGCTCGGCATTCGGCCTGCAGACTCGCTTGCTGCTAACCCCTGAAAGCTGAGGAGCTTGGAGTGCCGGTTGCCACAGAACCAGCACAGGAACTTCTTGGCTCCGATTGGCCAGGCAGGGATGCACTATGATTGACTGCGACGTAGCAGTTCATCATGAACAAAGTTCCATGCACAGCTTCGAATCCGCTGTTGGCTCTCGAAGCCCAGGCTCTTTGGAGGCACCTCGAATGTTCCAGGATGATATTCGCCCAACGGCACTTTGCAAGATGTGGATCCAGCACCCGACCTACTGCAAACATGGTGATGGATGTACGTTTGCGCATGGCAGCCGGGCTCACTTAAAGGATCCTGCCGAGTACCCGACGGAGCCCCTCAGTTCAGAATCATTTGGTAAGGTCTGGCAGAGATGTCGGCAGATGTGCAGTCGACCCTCGAGAGGATTGCCTTCACAGGTGGGAGCGGCAGAGCGGCAGAGCGGCAGAGCGGCAGTGGGAGTGTGGGGGCCTGGGCCTTGGCTTGACCCGAGGCTTGCTCGGAACGAAGTTTGCGGAGGCCGCTGTGGGCGGCGATCCGCACGGGAAGGGCAAGGGCGGCAAGGGCGGCAAGGGCAACGCCCAGGCCGTGGCACTCTACAACAGTGCAGCCAACACGGCCAAAGGCGGACAAAGTGGACCCACCGCGAGCAATAGCTACAGCGGACACGGTCATTCTCAGACATCTGCTCCAGTGCCCCTCGGTCATGTTGAGCTTTTCGCAACTTTTCTGTCAGCTCGCAGCGTGAGGGTCGAGCCCTGTACTTGAAGGTCTCGTTTCGAGGACTCGAACTTCAAGCCCAACAAGATATGCAGTTTTTGGTTGAAGGACCCAAGTGCATGCATGAAGGGGGACGCCTGCAGCTTCGCTCACGGAGTACTAGAGCTGCGCCGGATCTGAATTATCGTGCACTGTCGCAGTTTGGTTGCTCGGGCCCCTGGCAGCTTTGCAGTGGCTTCAGGCACCCAAATTCTGTCGAGACCTGTGGGGTCAGTCGATTCCTGCACTCTGGCTTCAAGCCTCGCGTGTCTTGCCTTCGATGTTGAAGTCTTGAAGGCATGTGCTGTAGGTGTTTCAGGACCAAGATGGCTGCACAGGTCATGTGCAAAAATATCCAAGCGGGAAATTACTGCTTGAAAGGCTGGCTGGGTTGCTGAGGCTAATACTAAACCGCACGGTGATTCGCTTGCCTGCTCGTTTTTCGCTGAAGCTGCAGAAGCTGCTAGGCTTGTGGTGCACTTTCGCCCATAGCGCAGAAGAGATGCTGTGAGCAACTCACATGCTGCCAGCTTTCTGGTGTAGTCCGCGGCATGTGCTCGGGTGTGTTAGATCTCGACTTTACTGGACGGACAAAGCTCCTTGCAGTCTGAGTTGTCGGAGATGCACCTCGACTCCTGTTGCGTGAACTCATGCTGAAATAACGGGCTGTTGCGTGCTGTTCCATACCGACGTGCGGGAGGGGACTTATATGGACTTATGCCACGATGTGCTTGTGGTGCTCGTGCGGTTCTTGAGCAACTCGTGAGGCTCACTTGTGCGGGTTGCAGACAATTGGCATTTGCGAGGCGCATGTAGGTCGGTACAGAAACTCACCACTGCCAATGACTTCCAGTCCTTTGTCCTGCTGCACCGTGCAGGTCCTAAATCCTACAGCACTTGTTTCAGCAAACCACCATGTAGTTTGGGCAGTCCAATGGTAAGCCTTGTGGCAGAGGATGCCTTCAAAGCTGCGGAGGCATATTTCGACAGGACTGGCATTCGGACATTTTTGACTGAGATCTTAGTCGAATTGGGGCGGGACCAACCCCCAAATCCACTGGCAACCATCCGCTTGCACCTGGAAAGGGCCGAGAACGCGCAGGTGGTGAGAACTGTCTCAGATACGGATCGCGGAGCTCCAGGAAATCCAAAAGGTCAAGGGGAGGATACCAAGGACACCGAAAGCGCCACCAACGCTGTACACGAGGATGTGGATTTATTGGATGTGCATCGGCCTGCAAAGCCCAGTTCGTGCCAAATGCCCGTGGTTGAGAAATGTGGAACACCCGAGACAGAGGAGCACGACGCTGATGGAAGCCTCCTGCAGGCATTCTGAGTGAGGCTGTGTAACGTAACATGATCTGCCCTCTTCTGCCTCTCTGGCAGGTGGAGGTTCTGAGACTCTTGGCTGACGAGGGCCTGGCATCTTCCAAACAGGGGCCAGGTCAGGACCTGTCCAATCGATGCTTGGCCGCTATAGGTGATGGTCTAGCCGCATATGGAAGCGCGGATGTCGAGAGCTTCCACCACCTTTGGCCGAGGTCGTGTTTGGGGCGGAGGCTTCAACCGGGATGTCCTGGAGAGCTGGGTTGCCTCGGCTGCAGTTCGCCGTACCGCGTGCACAGAGCTGAAGTTCTCTGAATTTGGTGCAGCGAGCAGAGAAGAGGTTCCTCAGCCCTCACCTTGTTGCGCTGCCGCGTCTGTGGCTGGCGCTTACAACTCTCTCTGGCATTTGGACCGCGATTCCGCTGGTGCCTGTGCTGCCCTTAGTGCTCAGATTTGCAGGGGTGGGATGCATCGAGACTGCCACATGTTGCTCAGAGGTACGATACGCGAGGTGGCCAACATTATGGCGGAGAACAAGCAGCATGTCCTGGCCAAGCAGCAGCAGCGCATCGCTCCTTGGCAGCACGAGGAGCCGAAGGCATGCAGTGGCCGAGGGCATGGCCCGGGGCCCGGTTCAGGAGAGACTCCTGGGCGTGGCCGAGGGAAGCATGGAGGCCTACTATGTGGCCTTGGACGAGCACTTGGCAGCCAAAGGCTTGAGCTGGACAGGAAGGGGGGCCTCGGCTGTGACGAAAGTTGCCGCGCATCTCGCAACTCGACGCCCGGCAGCACGGAGACACTCTGGTGCTTTTTATGCGATTTACTGTCGGGTTTTGCCATGGTGAACTCGGAGGTGAATTGCTGGCTATCCGTTCTGCAGAGACGAAGCGGACAGAGTCAAGAGAGTCTCCAGTGCCGACCGAAGAGCAGCTGCTCGCACAGCCGCTCTGCGATGGTGACGAGACGGAAGCTGCAGGCGGAACGTTGCCCGAAGTTCGGCGTCCCATAGTTAAAGAGTCCCGCAGGCTTCGGGGTCTTCCGAGTGAGCCGTGAGCCGTTCGGCGCCTTGAGGAGCTCCAGCGGATGCACCTGACCTCGCAGACGCCGAGGCAATCCGAATCCGCGAATCCGCCTGCCATTCCGGGTTTGTCGACATGGCAGCGTGCCAGGGCCAGGGCCAGGTGGCTTCCAAGTGTGCTTTGGTGACTGATGTCTTCGCAGCCCTCTCGGAAGTCCTGGGCGGCAGCCAAGAGCCAGATGAAGAAGAGACGAAGGATGACGAGAAGGCAGTTCCAGTGTCACCGTCACCCGGCAGCTTTTTGAGGGGCCCGCTGAAAACGTGTGCTCAGGTGTGCGAGCTGGTACAGGATGACCCAGCAATCAAATGGAAGAAGCTCACCACAAAAAACACTGCGCGAAGTTCGACTTCCAAGTTTTTCGATCGTTTGCGAGATGCACACCGAGGAAGGAAATGTCGGAGCTATTCGGGGCTCGAAAAGCAGTGTTCAGGCAGAACTCAGGGAACATGGCGATTGCATGTCCTGTTCTGATGGTTCTGCGATCGGCTTGTATTGATTCGACCAGGCTTCGGGCAGAGAGACCCAACACGTCGGAAGTTGGCAGCGGCAATCTGAAGCAAGCTGCAGAACTGCTTGGCACCAGCCGCGACAATGCACGCGACAATGCATCCCGACAGTGTTATTGCATCATGCTCAGCTGCGACTGCCAAGAATTGAAATCAGCTCCGGAGTGACATTCGCTGCCTGGCCCAGGAATCGCTGAAGGTGACGTGCCTGCTTGGGAGGCGGCAAAGTTTCAAGAACACCGTGGCCTTCGTTTCCAAAGGAGATGGAGACCCGGAAGTTCGCAAGCAGTGGTCGCTTCTTAAGCAGGCCTTTGCGCATCCCGGAAGCGTGCTTTGACTGGGTCCTGGCAGTGTTTTTGTTGTGGTCTTTGTGTTTTCCTTTGTAGTGGCGAGCCTGTGCTGCAGCTCTGCTGCAGGTCCTTCTTTTCCACCTTACCAACCACTATGCACTGATCTTCGCGTGGCGTGAGTGGATGGAGCCGAATGCCGCCGAGGTCAGTCCCAGCAGAAATCAAGTAGCAGCAGAAAGCCCAAGTAACGCCTTGAAGTCGAAAATGAAATGGGAAAGGCCCGTCTCCAACCAAAGACGAAGCAAAACAGAACAAACTCGAGCCCACATCGGTAGGTCGCCAAATCGTTATAGGCTTACACCCGAGCACTCGTAGAGCGCAAGCCAAACCCGCCAAACCGAGTGGTAATGGCTTGGAAAACCTGAGGAGACTTCGCTGCGACTCCGACGACAGATCCTCACATCGCGACGCGGCCAGCGTCCGAGTGCGTGGATCGACTTCGAGGAAGTTCGCAAAATTCTGCGACCTGGCTTTCCGAAAGGTGAAGTATAAGAAGCTCTCTTTCGAACCAGGGTACAGAAACGGATGAAACAGTTTTTTTGGTGTGAGTTCCCTAGCAGTGTGGGCGGGAACAGCCCTACACCTGCACGGCGCAAAGAACACGTCAAAGGCCTTCAGCGTGCCTGAGCAGTGTCTGCTGAAGGTTGCAGATGAGAGGTCGAACAAGTTTGTTGAACACTTCTTTCAACCCCCCCATTCCCTCGTATACAGCTGAGTCCTTTTGTCTGGTGCCAGACGATGTGAACCCCATTCCGTTGTTGGGGATGTTCAATAGGTATCATATTCGAGGAAGGTTCTCCTTCTTCCTGGGGATTCTGGGAGGGTCAGCGAGTCAGCAGATTCAGCTCGAGCCTCTACCCCTAGGATGGTAACACACGGCTTATGAAATGCTTATGAAGCCTTACAGCCTTACAGCTGCGTTGCGTGTAGGGCTCTGACTCAAGTCAGGCTCAGCTGGAGTGGCTATCATGTGCTTCAGCTTCAGCGCGAAAACCGATCAGGGCCAAAGACTGCCCAGGATGCTTGTGAAGAAGCAGTTGGCACAGAGAGATAAAAGATGATTGCGAACTGCTACTGTATCGTGCATCTGTGAGTCTAGGCTGAGTTGGCTTGGACATGTCACGCATGTCAGGGCCGAGCAGGACGAGCTGAAAGAAAGTGTGGTGAATCATGTCAGGACCAGTCCCGCTTTGCATGTAGCGCAGTCGGTTGGAGGCCAAAGTCATAGACATGTTTGTTTGCTCTCATGACACGACGCATGCGGAGGAGAAGGGCCAATGTCGCATGCAACAGAGTTATAATATAGAAGAAAGTGTACACCAGGAAAGTGACCGTGCAAGCAGATGACGACGAGCCAGACATTTTGGTGCTTCGGCTTCAATGAATCTCAGACCCTCTGGGAGTTAATGCAGCATCGCTTGTTCCTACGAGGCCGAGTTCGTCTGCGTGCTCCTGGATCGGCCCCTTGGCCGTGGACGAGCGAGAGAGCGAGAGTATCGGGAGTTTCGGGGCACCCGCTCGAGCTGAAGAATGGGTGCGCAACGCCCCAAAACAATGGAGGGCCCATGTGGCCACGGGGCCTGACAGGCCCCTTAAGCCCTGGTGAAGACTGGAGAGAAGACAGTGTCAGAGGTTGTGCTCAGAGCCGCGGTGTCCAGGAGAAAATCCAGCCCTGAGATGCTGGAGGAGTTGTCTCTGATGGACGACGAGGTGAGAGGTTGATAGGTTGCAAGGTCCAGCTCTACATGCCTGCAGCATCTAGCCGGCCAGGCTCAGCCGTTTGTCGCCTGGCTACAGAAGGAGAAGGCCTTTATTCCGATTGCATGTTTTACAAGCTCAACTTCGTTCGGAAGCGTTGCGAGGCGAGTATTCTGGCAAGGAGGCCGCCCCCGGCGCCGGCCCCCGCAAAAGTGCAGGCAAGCGAAAGCGCATGGAGAGCCACACTGACCGCTTTGCCACACACCTTATGGCAGGCGCCTCCGGACAGACCGCCGGGGCAGTTCACGACTGGCCCACAGAGGGATCGACAGTCTTCCGTGGACTCCGGACTGTCCACCTGTGTTGTTGGTCACTGCTTTTTCGAGGCCGCTGCCGCCCCGCAGCCATGCAATGCTAACGCATGGCACACGGAGAAGCAGCTCAAGGAAGCTCGTCCGGCTCTGCGGTCGTGGTATGTGCTGCCGAGGCCCAATGCCGTGACGGCTTCGCTGGAGGAATCAGGGAAGGCTTCCTCGCTCCGACCAGCTCTGTGCAAAGCCATTGCAGCCATGTCATGCGCTTTTACCACTCAAAAAGTGGGAAGTTCCCACTGCAGTGATATTGGCAGGCTGGCGACCGCTCTCAAGATAGAGGACTGGTTGTCATCACGAACCGCTTGATTCTCCAGCTGGAGTCTCAGATGAGGGCGAGGCCGGCATCCATTCAGTGGATGGAGCATGATGGAGTTTCAAGGCCGAACACAGGACACGGTGGACACGGTGCACATACCGAGCAATCCGGCCACGGCCCTGCCGGACACAGTGGACACCGCCCCGCTGACTCGATTCAAGATCTGCTCGCGGAACTTTAAAGGACATGTCATATGTCAGGACAGCCCCAGCCCGAGGTGGTGGATTGCGAAAGAGGCATGGAGGGTGGCCTGGGTGTCCTGTAGGCTACGCCGTATCAGACGGATCGCATTGGGACCCAATTCTGACGCAGTTGCGGCTGCCTCTGCAGCCGAGAAAAAGGCCGAGGCGGTTTCCTTCTCCAAGTCCCGGTGCTCGCAGAGACGGACACTCCTGGATCTTCGCAGGAAGCGTACCAGAAAAAGATGGAGCTGCTCGCAGAGATGACGAAGGAGCTGCAGGCCACATCAAGAAGTATTGATCCTCGAAGCTGGATTCTGAAGCTGGCGACGTGCCAGGTGATCATAAACAAGCTTTCGGATAAGAGCTTAAGTGACAGCATGCGGGAGAGGTGCCCGCTCTCGCCCCGTCGTAGCTGGCTTGATCATGATTACATGTAGCAGCCGTGAAGGTACCAAGGATTTGCGCAGACGATTCAGAATCGAATGTCGTCCTTGCGCCGAGCCTGGTGTGAACAACGCGGCATGTGCGAAGGGCTGTACATTTGGCACCAAGGTCTCGCCCCGCTGCTGCAGAAAAGGCAGTGCCGTTACTGCAATAAGTCCTGCATCAGGAGGTATCGGCAAGTCTCGCCATGTGGTGATCCTTTGTCAAACCGTGCCCAGGAGAAAGCCTATGCACAAGCAGCTCAGGAGGCGGCAGCGGCCGCTGCGGCTGCGGCCACTGCGGCAGGGGGCAACTCCCCGACAATGTCAGCGGCTGCCCCACCAATGCTTCGGACTGGAGCGGTGCCTTCTCTGCCGGGGCCTGCCCTCGCCGAATCCGGGAGAGCCCCGCCAGCAGAGGCAGTGCCCATCTGAGATCGACTCGTCGCACAGATGCGGCATTCCGTCTACGGTGTAAGCTGGAGTAAGCTTCCGTCCTATTCGGTGATGATGGCCGAGCACAAGCTCCCCACAGAAGTCCAGTCTACAGGAGTGAGGTGATTCACTCCTTGCAGTAAATATTCTAGGTCGTTCTCAAGTTTCACCAAGGGCTCGTCCCTTTTGTACAAAGGCAGGAAGGACATGGATGCCTGCAACCTTTGTTTCGATTTTCTCTAAGCACAGACCGATGGGAGACATCGCCCTTTCGGCCGCCCTGCCAAACAAGAATCTACAATGCATGGGGACGCCACCACTTCTGTCATGAGTCATGAAACATCGATATGCCGTGGCATGGCCAAACGGAGACTCACAAGACTTCAGCCGCAAGGCTCAAGGTAAGGGCAATGTGGGCCCTGGCTTGTTAATGTCGAGCACTTCGGCGGCGAAAGGCCACGAGTGCAGAGTCTGTTGTGTCCAACTTGTGACACTGCGCGCTTCACCGGACAGGCCACCTGGCAATGGTGTCCATCTTAACACTTAGGGTCTGTGGCTCTCGGACCCTCGGACTGTGGATTACTGTGCTCATATTCGGTTGACAGAACCACTGTGAGAGCCATCCGAGGCCTTGACCATTTTCCGCGCTTCTATGCGCTCTACTTTGTACACACTAGGCCGGAGATGCGAGCGTACTTCTGGGGGAAGGCCAGGGTGAAAACTGCCGTGGACTGCGAGGATGCCTCGCTCTTTTTTGGTGTGCCAGCTGTTCCCACCGCCGGCGAACCGTCACCGCAACGGGATGGCCGCGCGGCGGCAACGAAGTCTTAGGAACCAAAGCCAGCTTCTCCTCTGTAAGACAAAGGTCCTGAGATGGGTAAAGTGACCCACCGCTGAGGTACAATGCGATGTGTGGAGGCTCTGATTCCGTGAAGACGTTTTCCAGCAAATCTGACATGGTGAAGGTGCGGCTGACCGCCATGACTTTGCAATCTCTGTGCCACGCCGTGGTGTGCCAGATGTTTTGCTCAGGCCGGTTGGGTCTTCAGCTGGGACGACAGCAGCCTGTGGGATGCCAGCGCGACGTACAGCAGCGCGTATCGTGGATCCTCTGCCTCGGGTGACGGGATGGTTTCTCTCCAGTTGCAAGGTCATGGCACGGTGGTGCCGAGCTTGGGTCAGTAATTTTCGCAGATCCCAGTAGGGAGCCGGTGGCAGACGCATGGAAACATGCGTTTAAAGCTCCTGCATGATTGCATCCGGAACGGCTATATTTAGCGCTAAGGTGCTGACATATGGAAGCGACTCGTCGGGAACGGTGAAGGTTTTTATGAACGGCCAGGAGAAAGGCAGTGCCTCTGCCAACACCGTTTCGCAGAAGGTTGAGCTGGTTTTCAACACAGGCGCGCAAGGGTTTGCAAATTGTGGGGGCTGGCAGATTCCTTAGCCATTTCCGCCAGGAGACATTCTGCAGGTGCAAGAGACCGGATCCATCATCCTGATCCAATCCGTCGCCGCTTGGCTGCCTTGTGGATTTTGCCTTGTCCCCATCTCTGCCATCTCTACCACTGATGAATCCAGCCTTCAAACATATTCCTTTCCCTTGGCCTAGGACTTCGTTTGCGACATCACGTCCCCAACAACTCCGGTTTGGTCGTACCACGAAGCAGTGCCCTCCAGCAGCCTGCCATATGAGATGGGCTATCAGGCCGACCTGAACCTCAATTCGGCTTCCTACACCGTCATGATGTGGTTGAAGCAAGGGGTCAGTGAGCCCAGCGATGCTATCATCATCGGGCAGCACATCGGAACCTCCACCACCACAACCTTTACGACTGTAACCGTCACCGAGACGACCGTCACTGTCTCCTCCACCACCACAACGCAGACCACAACGATTCTGGCTTCGTCTTGAGTATGTGTTTGACTGTTGTCAATCTTGTGCAAAAGGGTGCATGCTTTGTGCCGGATCGTAAACGATCCGGTTAGTCTAGCATTAGTGGATGATGTGCCAGCTTGCCCCAATATGAGGACAGACCTTTGCCAATGGTACGCATACACGGACTTGTATTCGAGTGGCTATGCTGGTGGCGTTACCGATGCATTCGACCTCCACTCTGCCAAAGAGAAATGTGCTTCAGATCAAAAGGGGTTGTTCTGGGACGCTGCTTCGTTCTGGTTGCGTTTGGGATATGGAAGCAGCTGGCACCTGGGGCTGGTTTCTTTGAACTTGCCTCGGTGTCTGGACGCTGCTCTCTCTCTCTCTCTCTCTCTCTCTCTCTCTCTCTCTCTCTCTTTCTTGATTGGTTTCGTTGGACTGCGGTAGCCCAGATCCCAGCTCGTGTTTACCGACAAGTCCAGCTTGCAAGTTACCATCCCACCGATCCTTTCTTGGCTTGATAGAGAGGCTTCTTGGACATAGTGTGCATTGACTGAAGCAGTCCCGCCACCCGAGGCATCGAGCTGGGAGATTCGGCCTGCAAGGCTGTGACATGCACAAGTGGCGGCGCTTGCACCGTCCGAGCTGCAGTCAAGCTGGCTGCAAGCGCATATGGAGAGACATCGTACGTGCCAAGCTCCATGTGCTACCTCGGAGGCTACCGTAATTTGGTGGGGTTGACGAGGTCGGGTGTGCCTTGTACAGACGCAGCCACAGGGAGTGGCTTCATCATGTACTCAGCACAAGACGTTCGATCACGCTTCAGTCAAACATCTCTCCCATCTGACATGGCAGACCACCTCATCTGCGTAAAATACTCCAGTGGCACTGGCTGGATGTATGATGATGATGCAGGAAACGATGTTGGCTTCGTCGCTCGGGACACTGACGTACTCATTGCTTCCGTAGACTTCGCGGCGGACACCGTTACCAGCCTTGTTGGCACTGATGAGTACTATGCCCACCTCACCAAAGGGTACAACAGTGGTGATTTGGTGTTTGTGGCCGGAAAATACGGCACCAGCAGCACAAGTGATGCTGGAGAGGTGTATGTCTCGGGGACGTACTTCATCGTGCCGTCAGTTGACACGGTTTCGTACCCGGATGTGCTGGCAACGGCAGCAAGTGCACCGAGCCAGTTCACCAGCACCGACAATGCAGTCGACTATTACCAACACCAGACAAGCAGCGTCAGTGAAGTGCACATGAAGATCACAAATTACTACACAGGTTCCAACAGCGACAACTGGAAGGTGTTTGATGGTTCCTATACAAGTGCCGTAAAAGTGCAGGAGCCAGACCTGCTTTGGGAAGGAGAAGGCTTGCAGTCGCGCGTGCATTCGGTTGCTTGGCCACGAACTGCTTTTTGGAAGAAGCCGAAGGTTTCTCGTTCACAGGCGTGGCGGCGTGGGGATCTGCGGAAAGGCCCGCGAGGGTTCGCGAGGCTTCGAGAGAGCACACGAAGTGTCTCCCGCAGGGTTGTTGAAAGCAGCAAGCGAAGCGAAATCATTCGTGCTCATGGCTTCAGGGGAACTAGGAACCGCGTTGGGGAGGCTTTCCTAGTTTAATTACCAAGTGATCCAGCTGCTTTTGGCAGAGAGCACAGGTTACGCTGTACACCACAACCAGCGGCAATGACTACACAGCCTACTTCCAGACATCGGACTTGTCTTCCGGCAGTTGGTCTTCAGGCCCTGGCCTGCTGGTGGGAATCCGCCGCTCTCGCTCTTGAAAGTCTGAACTTGCAGTGATGCTCTGTGCAGGTGACATCCAGAATGCAACCGCCGACTGGGTCCAGCAAAGTTCCTACTGGAAATGGACAATCCCCATCAAGGCAACGTGGTTAATTATGTGCGATTGACCCGTGACCCATTCCTCGTGCCGACAGGCTGGCTAAAATGACTTCCCTCGACACGCCCGCTTGAGAACTGAGGCAGAGACGATGAAGCTCGAAGTCCGTCTTCGTGGTTCTGGCCTGACCTTTGCAGACAGCCCGGACGGCTCCCAGCATGCCAGCCGCTCCTTTCAGCTGAGCGGGTTTGAGGTCAACTTGCGCAGCACTGTCACTACCACGGTCACTGCAACCACGACCACAACACACACTGAAACCGCTACAACGACTTCATCCTCAGTGACCACATCCACGATCACGGTCACCACAACGACTCTCACCTCTTTTCCATCTGTCGGTTTCGACAGCCATGCAGACCTAAAGTGCGCAAGCACGGGCGAGAGTTCCTCGGGCCTTACGGATGCAACAGAGGATCAATGCAAGCTTGCGTGCTGGAGTTCTTCCACCTGCATTGGCTTTAACTACGCTGCCGCTGGTGGTGGGGCAGACAATTGCAAGCTGTTGGCTTCTCTTAGCAACCTCGCCGCTGAGACAGGCACCACTTGCTACTTGCGCATGGCAACTGGTATGTGTCCCTACCAGTTCCAGTTCGCCTACTATGCAAACAGTGCCTATTGCTGCAAGACCAACAAGGAGAAGGATGATGGTTCTGGTGCAAGCTGTGACGGAAGCGCCCTGCATGCTGGCAATACAGTCTCTATGTGTTGTGCGACTCGGCTAGATCCTTTCGTCGTCTGCTGCTGTTCCAGAAGTATTTTTGCAGAGCCTGCCCAGGAAGGGGACAATTTCATTGTCTGCCCGAATCCTCCGTGCTCCTTGGATGGATTGGTTCTGTGAAGTGCGAAATTTGTCTCTTTCACGGTTGAATCTGGCCCTGCCATGTCTGGACAGTGAGGTGCCGACTATCAGTCGTGACCTGGCCCAATCGAGCTGTGTCTAGCCAGGTGTCTCATGTCACAAGGTCTGCATTTGAAGCGCTTGTGGAACCGCATTTCGCAAGAGGTACACCTCGGCAACGATGCATGGTGTGGCGACGTTTCATTACGAAGAGAGCACGACGACCGTTACATCCTCGTCGGTGACATTATCCACTACCTCCACCGCTACTGCCACGTCATCCTCTACCACGTCATCCACATTCACATCCTCCTCGACCACTTCATCTTCCTTCACATCATCCTCGACCATATCGTCCTCTACCACATCATCTACTGCCACATCTTCGTCTACTTCATCATCCACTGCCACGTCTTCCTCTACCACATCATTCACAAACACTGTGACGGTGACTTCGACAACCAGTTCTTCGACGACTTTGACTGCGTCAAGTACTACAACAGAGACATCAACCACAACCGCAACGGCTTCAAGCTCAACGACTTCAAGCACAACGGCTACAACGTCAACGACTTTAACCGAAACGACTTCAACCGCAACGACTTCAACCGTTACGGCATCAACCTCCACAACTGTGTCAACGACATCGACCGTGTGGGCCCTTACCCGTTCCTGGCGGCAGAACGAAGAGACACATACACGCATGGTTTAACACGCATTTTTGAGTGTTTGTCTAGGCCCGTATCATCTCGAATCTCTTGCAGCTGCCCTCACAGTTGGCTTGCAATAGCATTTGTACACATAATGGTGCATGATCATGTGTTATGCTGCTGACCTCTTGTGTTCATGCGATGAGTTTTCCCCCAGGCTATTTGCACTGGAGCTCGGTTTACTCCGCGTTGTTCTCGGATGCGTATGAACAGAATGATGAATTCTTCTGGTCGGTGGAGTTTGTGAGTAGTGGCACCGTCAGACTCAAGAATGTGAAGGAAGGCACGTACCTGGCCTCCGACGGGTCCACTTTGTCTTTAGAGAGTACTCGCAGTGCTGCGGGCCTCTGGAAATATGCAACCGTCGATGATTCAGTTACACTTCAGCATTCGTCATCCAGCAAGTACCTTTGCACTGAAGCCTTTCCTGGCATCTCCGACAGCTGCCAGTCTAACGGCTGGACGGTCACTTTCCTGGCCAACACTGTATCCGCATCCGTCTTCACCTCCGTCACCGTGACAACGACCTCGTTGACCTCAACAACGAGGACGTTTTCATGGGCCATTGGTCAATGTCACACGTCTCGCCCTCGTACTTCCATGGACTCCTGTTTCAGAGGGTTTAAAGGCTCATTGCATCCCCAACTGTACGCTACAGTACGAGTATGTAATTGTGAAGCAGCGGTCAGAGGCGGGGAGAGAGGGCGAGACCTTCACGACAGGACAGAGACCTCGACGATCGTAACTTCGACGACGACGAGCACGACCTCGACCTCATCATCAACTGAGACGACCTCTACAGTGACAGCTACAATGACAACATCCACAAGCTCCACGAAGACGACCACCGCCAGCACTTCCACAACAACGAGTAGCACCACAATAACAGTGACTTCAAAGACGGCGACCCTAACCACTACCACCACTCTCACTGCGCAGTTCGACAGAACGCGTTTTGATGTCAACTTGAAAGACGGGCGGTACTATGTCAGCTTCTCGGCAGCATGGGCAGCAGTTCAGCTCAAGGTTCTGTGACGTCCTGAAGCCTCAGCGAAGGTCACTACCTCCAGGAGTGCCATTCGGACACCACCCTGAGCAAAGACGTGTGGCAGCTTGGTGGATCCCCATAGACCTTAGGTGGTCCTTCAGGGGTTCTCAAGACATCGGCTTCGGATGCGTACTGACATGTAACATGTCGCAGACATGCAGAAGCGAGAATGCCTTGCCATTGTAGCCCACATTATGGGCTCTCCATAGCATCCGAGACATACCCTGACCACCACCTGGCGGACCTGAAGTCACCGTGTTGAGAAATAACTCCTTGCGCTTTCGTCTGCTTTCGTTCACTACATATGCTTGCGGTCTTTAGGTAGGGTTTCGGCAACGACGGGCTCGAAGCTCTGCTTGATGAACCACGTCAACATCAGACACTGCCCCTCCAAGGCAGCACGTGGCCTTCGTCTATGACAAAGATGCCAAAACACAGTCAATCTACATCGACGGAAATTTGGACAAGACATGTTCAGCTCCATGGCTCGCGAGTGGCCCCCGTAGGCAGATGCCAGCATACCGGGGCCCGATAAGCAAGTTCGCCTATCCGGGTAGCTGAGGGCATCGAGTCGCTGAATACGGACGAGACCAACCAGCATCGGGCTCAAACGCTTAAGACAGTATCCAAAGCTAGAGCCGTAGAGCGAAGTGAGGTTTTATCTTGGCGGTGCTCTGCAACGTGGAGTTACAACAACGTGGACTGGCTCCATTGCTGACGTGAACATCTTCCTTCAGGTCCCGGTGCGTGCTATCCGAAGTGCTCTAGAAAACATTGTACACTGTTACATTGCATTTTCATTCCCTCTGCCAGGTCTTGACAGCCGAACAGCTCGGTGTTTCGAAGCTCGCGGCCTGCTACGCTCTCCCAGGCAGCTCTGTGCTTTCTACATTCTTGGGAAGTCCCGCTACGGTGCATCGGGACTCCAGGTACTGATTGCCGAACTCAGCTGCACTCGTGGCACACCAAGGGCCGCTTGTCTGCGCAGGAAAATTTGTTGCTCCTTGGCAGCTGGTTGCGAAGACTTTCGTGTTCTGGCGTCTCGATTCTCTCGAGGTGCTTGCTTGATGGATGCAGATACCAGCGGACTCAATCCGAAGACCTGCAGCCCAAAGCTCAGCAGTCTTTGACCAAACGAGAGGGCAGAAAGCGGAATCTGCAAGGCACCTACTGTGCGACCTATGGGATGCTGTGCCTGAAAGCCGCCCAATCGAGTGGCTCCTGTTCATTGTCGGTGTCCACAACTGCATCTCGCCTTGCAGCCGGTGGGAGAGCAATTAATTGTTTCCTTTCATGCCGCCGATGCCTGTCGGAGATTGAACTCTGAGGCATATCAGACACAAACGAGGCGTCCTGCTTGTGGCTGGCCCCTGGCTGTGCGCAAGGCACCCGAAATGTCCCTTTCAGGTACGGCTGTGACGAGACGCTAGACAACCAAGTGTGTCCAGGTTGCATGAAGCCGAACTTGTTGAAGCAAGAAGTGGCAGATGTGGATGTCGGGTTGGACAAGGTGTGAGTGCTACCCTGCGAACTGGGCTCCGCAGCTTGTGAATCCGGCGAGTGATTCTTCACAGAGGCCTCGGATTACTTGGGTTTGCTAGGAGTCACGGCGCACGTCAGTGCAATCATGGAAGGACTTATTCAAGCTCCTTCGCTGACACAGCGAAAATAGGAGAGGCTGAGTCTGAGCTTGATGCGTCATCGCAGATTTGATTGCCTCTGTTTGGCTCATCAAATTTTGCTAATCTCTGCCATTGTAGTTTGGTCGTTTATGATGTCACGACTGCAACACCGGTTGGGCGGTGGTGCTCGTGGTGCGGGCAGGAGCTCTTGACGACACCAGCAGCGACCAAATGTGGAGAGCTGCCACTGATAGCGGTGAAAACATGGTTATCGACATCGGCTCCAATAGCTACTATGTTCCTCGTCCTGGACGCATCTTCGCACACGGTTGGCTGCCAGGTTGGTATTTTCACCCTTGGCTGGAAGTCAATGCCCAAGGTCTGTGGCGTCATTACGCAGGGAAGTGGCAGTGCAGACTACTGGGTCAATACCTTCGAGGCTGCGCATGCCCGAATGCCCGAGAATAGGTGCTGAACATCAAGCGTTGAGGGCATGTGCGATTGACTCCACACCTGGGCAGGTGGACTTCAGTGGCTGGCACAGTTCAGTGAAGGGGTGGTCGTTGTTGTCAGAGCTCGAGCGTGTTTGAGATGATTGTAGCCAGCACAGGCTGGACGGGTCTGGGCGTTGTCTGAGGTGAGGACAACAGCAACTACGCCCCGATCGCTGGCACTTTTGCCACTGCTGGTGACAAGACGACTCAGAAGCTGTCCCGATTTCCTTTGCCGATGCGTGCGCGTTGTCGGTTGCAATGGAATTTCATGTTGGTATCAGGAGCTTGCGTAACTTTCTTTTTTTCGACATCACTCATGAAATAAGAGCAGTTGTAGAGAGAGAGAGAGAGAGAGAGAGAGAGAGAGAGAGAGAGAGAGAGAGAGAGAGAGAGAGAGAGAGAGAGAGAGAGAGAGAGAGAGAGAGAGAGAGAGAGAGAGAGAGAGAGAGAGAGAGAAAGCAAGAGAGAGATAGAGCGAGAGAGAGAGAGAGAGAGAGAGAGAGAGATGCTCGCATGTGCCCAAACCCCTTCGCAAGCAAGCAAGCAAGAGAGCGCAGTCGGCTGTTGCTGTTGTTTGGAGTTAGAGTGGTGCAGTTGAAGCAGCCACGAGCCCCACATGTTGCTGTGAACTGGAGCGACACGAATGACCCAAGTGGTGCTTGGGGGCTTACATGGTGATGGTCTTAGGTCATGTGTTGCAGTGGTGCGGGCGAGTCGACAGGCACATTTGGGGGAACGTGGGCGTCGCTCCACGTGGGCGTCGCTCAGCCCCGACAGCAGTGGGAGGAAGTGCAGCTGCATCCCTTGACCGCAAGACTCACTTCCTTACGAAAAGAGGGCTCCACCTACTCTACGAACCGACAGCCGAAGACCAGTGGATCTCCAGACAAATTGTAACATGCGAGGAAGGAGACTACATGGACAGCCAGACGGGGGAAGTCCACGCTAGAGACGTCGCGACAAGCTACGAGTCCTACCAGCGACGCCTCTGCGAGCGCTACAGAGTGGGGAACGAGCTGATAGATAGGTGCGGATAGCCGGCCGCTACATGCCGAGAGTAGCGGATGAGAACAGAGCCTCCGTTATGCGCCACCCGCACAAAGTGGGGGACATGCTCAAGAAGGCCTGGAAACTTCGCAGGAAAATCCGCAGACGACAAAAGGAGGGGGAGAGGAAAGCAAAGCGTAACAGAGCCAGCACCTCTGACACGCCAGAACGTGGAGAAGTTCAAGAAGGAGCCCGACACCGTAAAGAAAAACCCGCGGCGAAGAGGGGACAACAGGAGAGACCTCGCTGCCGAGTGTGAGAAGAGAAGCCAGTTTTCGGCAGAGACACCACCGGACAGGGAGGAGATAACGACGATAGCGATATCAACCCCACAGCCGAGACACCAGCAGAACAAGAGGAAGAGGAAGCCAGCGAAGCACAATGGCCGTGGGGCCCGGCGGGCAGACCCTCGGACAGAGGGGCAAGCAAAGGCACCTAGCACAAAGGCCCAGGGAACTTGTGGCGGCAGCCGCCGCCAAAGTACCTCAACCCGCTGGGGGCACAAAAGCCCAACGAGGTTGAGGGGGAGCCACCACCAAGCTCCCGTGCGATAAGAGCGACCGCTGCCGAAGCAGATGCAAGCGCCATGCAAAAGGAAAAAAGGCTCAAAGTAAGCCTAACTCCTTACTTGCGCTGGCAAGCACAACAAGTACAACAACACATGTCGAGACGGACGGGGAGTACCACCGGAAGCCCGCGTACTGAAGACCCGTGAGCGCGGTAGGGAAAACACACCTTGCGCCCTTGATTGCGACGATGACAACATGCAGTCTTTTGGGTGTGTGTGTGTGTGTGTTTCTGCTTTGGTTTAGCTTGTGCTTGGTGCAGGTTCCTCCACGCTCCCAGGCCCCAAGTGTTCCCCAAGTTGCAAGTTCCTTGCAAACGACAAGCGTAATTCTGACGGGCCGCTGAGCCAAAGCCACTACCTATCGGGGGATCCTGCACCCCACCTTCAATTGCACACTGCTGCAAGCCGCTATACCTTTGAAAAGGGACCCTAATGCCAATTCGCTACCTCTCTCCTTGGGGACACACGCTGGGGAGCCCACCGTACTCGTTACTGCACGATCTCGTTACTGCGCGATACCAGGCGGGGGAACCGGCACCCTTTTACCGTTTTTGTGGTTTTCCATTACAAAAAACCGTCCAGGTAGCATCGAGGTGTCATCACACACTGGGACCCCTCGAGCATTGGTACTGCTGTTATACCGCTGTCCAGACCTTGGTTCTTGTTGTTGTTGCGGAAAGGGGGAATCCTATCACAAACCCGCTGGGTCAACAAGGGGGGAAGTGTTCGGCGAGGGACCAAGGATTGTGCTTAAGAGAGCGCGGCCATGAGGCCGGGATGCGCGATAAAGTTCAGGGAGGGTGGTTCCTCGCCGAACAATCGCCTCCTATCCCCTACCGCTGAAGACCCCAAAGCTCCTCCACCACTCAGATGGGGAAGGGGGCGCCTTGGCGCGGGTCCACGACGTGGACTTTTCCCCTGTGAAGTGAAGAGATAGAGAGTGATAGATCCAGCAGACAGCCGTGCCCTACAGGGGCTGCGCCCTGATGCATGACACCGACGTTTGGCTGAGAGTGCAAGGGAAAGAGTGTGCGGTGGCCGGGCGTGGTGGCGCCCAGCGGTTTTCCATACGACGAGCAAGAAGATCGCACCAGAGGGGAACGGCTGTGAAAACCTCTCTGCGTCTGAATGGAATTACGACTTGCTCCTAGCGACTCGCAAGAGTCGTAATGCTGTCCGCCAAGATAGCTCTGCCTTTTTGTGTTTCGACAAGATCCTTGTCGTCGATCTCAAAAATCTTTCAGCTAAGTGTGCTTGTGTATCGCGGCTGCTGCACCTTCTCCGTGTATTTCAGTGTAAGTTTCTACATCATCTCATATCACGCCATATCTGGGATGGAGCCAGTGATGCCAGCGCTTGGGATGCAGGTCTATGTGGTTGGCTGGCTAAGGATGTGTGGAGGATGTCATGTGAGGCTGTGGTTGATGGGCCGGGCCACCCCCGTAAGCGGCTGCCAGCATCGGGTTCCCATTTTCCCGAAAGAGTCTGTAGCCAGACACTTTCATCACGCTTAAGTGGTGCTTTGCTCGCGGTGTGCTGCTTTTGTCGTAATGTTTGATCGGCGGATCAAGCAAGTTTAGAACAATTCCTGCCTGAGCACCTCATGGTCCACCACGCAAGCACAGCCTCCGACGTGAGCGAGAGCTTGAGCGGGAAGAACGGAGGGCGGGCGGAAAGAGAGGATAGAGAGCAAGTGCGAGTGTGAGGCTATGTTCGCATCTGGCCGTCCACTGTCAACGGCGCCCTCGCCATGCGCGCAGGGCTGGTGACATGTGGGCCGTTGAGAGCCGGGACTTCCGGAAACCATGCCACCAACGCAGGCAAGTAATGGAAAAATTCCAGACGTATACCGATGATTCCTAGCTGCCCCAGCTTGCTGCTATGAAGCAGAACGTCCAGTAGCATTCAGCATTTTGCGCGGTTGCACACATGGACACAGTCTTGTTGGGGCTGACTCGGTAACCAGTGCAGGCGTTACGTGTCATTCGGATGTTTCAAACTGTGGCATCTTGGACGCAAGATGGTGCCAGAGTCAAATTATTCGAAGGGATTCAACCACATGAAAAGCCCAGGCACGCAGATTACTGACGGCAACAAATGCACCGACAGTACTACATTTTCGGGTGCTGTGGCGACAGCATCCACGGAGCTTTGCACTTCCAAGTACTGGGTGCAGCTTGATCTAGGACTGGTGAATGTTGTTTTCGGTTGCGGTCTCGTTCTTTCTCGCCGCTACTTCCTTATGGGTGGACATCAGGAGCCACATTGTCGAACGACGCGCCAACGAAGTTGGTGAACAAGGTGCGAGCTGCAGCTTCAAGCTCGGCAATCTAGTTGTCTGGTAGCCAGTCTGTTTGCAGCTTTGAAGGTGGTGGTGTATGGATGCCAGAACTTGATGTATTGTGGCCGGGCTCTGGAAGTTTCCAGCGATGGGACCACCTGGTCGACGGTCTATGAGGCAAATACAGCTTATGCAGTCCAGCTGCAGCCAAACGTGGCCAAGTTCATTTGTGGGATATCCCTTGTATAGTCACTAGGGGTGCATCACGCGCAGCGGCTTTGAGTAGTTGCATGCTCAGCTTCAAGCGCAACAGATGTGACTGATACACCAGCTTGCAGCAGCTGAGCCAAGCCAAACAAGACACCTTTTGAAGAGCATGGCAGTGTCGCACAGAATCGCAGCAGAGGTCTAACCGGTACGGGCTTATGAGCGACGGCTTGAGGGATGGCTGTGCGCCTAAGGATGACGACGATGCGCCTAACGTGACGTACAGCGCTGTGGAGTCGGGTTCTGGAAGCGTTTTTCGCTTTGATTTACGTCCCATTCGCTATGTGAAAGTTTGGTCCAGCATCAGCAGCAGCGCCCTTCAAGTACACTTCGCAGAAATCGCTGCTCGATCGGACAATGTAGTGTTCCTGTCGTGCAGAGGCGAGAGTGCATTTTTGTTCGACTGCGATGCGAGGAAGTTTACGAGCAGGCCACGGAGCTGAACTATCAGTTTGACACAGAGATGGCCAGCACGGCCGTGACCATGGGCAAGCTGAGCAACCTGGGGATGCTGTCCGACTACACATTCATGGCTTATTGGAAGGCGAGTTCCCTCACGACCAACGCCGATTACCCAATCTTCGGACAGACCCAAAGCAGCGGCCTGAACTTCTTCGTGAAGCAGACGGCGACCAACACCATCCAACTTGAGCACAAAGTGGATGGCTCCGACGGATGCAGCACAAGTGCGACGTCGGTTTCGGCCAACTGGAACCATGTTACTCTGTCCTTCACCGCCAGCACAAAGGCATCAACGTTTTACCTCAACGGTGCCGCAGTGTCGCCAACCTGTGCAGCACAGATCAGCGCCACAGATGGAAGTGTCGAGTATGGAGGCGGTCGCGGAGAGGGCACCTGGAGCGGGAGCCTTCAGCAGGCCAAGGTGTATACACGAACCGTCTTGTCTGAGGATTTGACCAATTTCAGCAACTGGTGCTCCACGTACACCTGCGGGCCAGGATATCGCCGTGATTCGAGCAAATCAGGAACCTGCAGCACTGCGAGCTGCACGGACGCAGAATGCTGCGAGGAGTGGCCAACATGCGCCACAACGGATTGCACGCAAGACTCAAAGTACACCTCCAGAAGACGCAACTACTGCTTTCGGTCGTGCACGGAGACTCTGTGCTGCACATGGCGCGTCCTCGGTTCCTTCACACTCACCGGGACTTCAACCCCAACGGTGACAACGCACAGCACAGCCTCCTGGGTTGATGCGGGTTCCACTTGCAAGGACCAGTTTGACGATGCGCTCCCTGTTACCACGAGTGGAACGGTTGACCGCACCACTGCAGGCACATATACTATCACCTACCAGTGCACAGAGAACAATGGCAACACAGTGTTGGCACCTCTGCTAACTGAGCATGTTCCCTGTAAGGTATGCCATGCGTTTGCCCAGATTGTTGCGCTGGGACATGTTTCGCAGTGAAGTCACAACATAGACAAGGACACAAAGACACGGACTGTCACGGTCGTGGAGAGCATGTACATCAACCCAGCCTTGCCTCTTGGGCTTTTGACTTTTGACTCGGCCGCGCTCACGACTCATAGCCGCGGCTCTTTCTGCAGGTACTGGGTGGTGCAGCGCGAGGCCGGATCTTGGACGGACACAGTCTCCAAGTGCTGGGACACGGACGTCCCCCAACTGCATCCACAGTCCCAGAGCGTCTGATTTCGTAGGGTACATGAGGCATAAAATTTGTTCGGTTTCCAGGACACGTTCGACGCGGATGTGGCTGACATGCATCAGTCGGAGACATGGGATGCTAGCGCCCGGCTCTACAATGCAGATGGGGCATCCGGCGGAGTCACCGAGGCGGTTGGAGGGGCGCTTGTGGTGTGACTTGCTCTCTCCCCTGCCAGGAAAACCGCACTATTACCTACACCTGCTCTTTGACCAGCGAGAAAATCGAAAGGACCTTGATGATTCGGGATGCCATCCGCAGCCCGGCTAATCCTGCCTTCGAGCGCTTAACGAATTCATGGGCGTTGCATTTCAAAGGTCTGTATGGACCAAATCCCCATGTGGTTCGCAGTGGGCGACTTCGGTGGAACGCTGGTGCTTGTATCTCGGATTTTACAGAGCCTGCTTTCCTTGCGGTCCTTGCCATTAAGAACCTTGCCTAGCGTTCAAAGGCTAGAAGAGTTTGTAACGCGAATCGGAGTGGCGGCCTGAGGCGAGATCTGCGACACGACGGATACTAACCCTGGAGAGACATCGTGCTCATATTCGGACGACAACTCCACTACGACGGACAGGTGTGCATTGACGGCTACAGGCTGGAAGGCCAGCAATGACAAGGGAGAGGGCACTTATTTGCAGCTGGATCTGGGTTCAGCACTCAAAGTGGCAGGACGGGCCGGCTTGATTCGGTGACAGTGTCTCACTGTCAGCCTGTGTCGCATTCAGCTGTCATGAGGAGTGAAGACCAAGGGCCACTCGAGCGAGGAAGCATGGCTGAAGACCTACACCGTCGCCTACTCCACTGATGGCTCGAGCTGGAACGACGTCTCCGGCACGTTCACGGCCAACACCGACCAGAACACGGAGGTTGAGGCCATGCTGCCGTCCCTAGTGGAAGCACAGTGGTGGCTACTGGCCTGCGTGCATGTCGGAGAATCCCTTTCCTTGCATTGACATCACACAACCAAGGCGCATCATCGCGAAGACATTTCACAATGTGGTGGCAGCTCGAGCTGCGATCATGGTCTGCAGCTCAACCAGTCGCTTGACTGCCTTTCCGTCGTGATGTGTTGCCACCGCTTGGATAGTCTGGAGGCTCTGAGACCTTATTCCCAGTAAGCACGGCATGACTCTTCTCGCGACCTTAATTATGCCAGGTGCGAGCACTGATGCAGATTGCTTGTGTGGCTATGTTGCCGCACCAGCTGCTGAAGCATGCCGAACCGATGTGACTGTGGACTGCATCGATGCTACAGGCCGAAAGTTTCGAAAATAAGCGCCATGTCTGCTACTGGTAGCATATTTGCCTGCATCAGCGCCCTATGCAAGTATGGAAGTGGCCAGTCGCAGCATCTCAGTTCTACTTCCGGTCCGACACACCGTGAAGAGCTTGGCAGGGTTGCGTGTGCGTTTCACTCGCCACCTGCAGGGACCGCTCAGACACCATCCCTGAGCCCTTCAATTATCAAGGCACTTGAGCTTTGGCATGGTTAGGTCTACTTCGGTGAGTGGATTGCGCAAATCTTGGCCAGAGGAAAGTCTGTAACAGCCAGAAATGCGGTCAGCTGTAACCGTGCTTCTGAGGATGCATCGGAGACTGTCGTGACCTACTCGTGTACCGGGGCTCCCGACTACACGCGGACCGTGAAGATCCGGGATTCGATATCTTTGGTCGGCAGCTCCTCTGTCTTGGTTCCCGGTGGTGTGTCAGGCCGGGCAGGTCAACTCCTCAGTCGAGAATCCAGGTTTCACAAGAGAGGGTTCGTGTGCAAGCGCAGGACAATGGAACGTTGCGTCGAGCGGCACATTTTACGAGACTGGCAGCACATGCATCACTCACGAGGGCGAGGAGCTTACGCCAAGTGTGGACTTGGACTATCTTCCATTCACTACGGAGTGCCCGAGCTGCGTTGGAAGGACCATCAGTGTGTCGTCTTCATAAGATGACCTACCTGCGAGGCGAACCTACATCATCAATTACGAATGTCGAAGACGGGCGGCCCCTGTCTTGCAGCGCACTGTGGAGGTGCGATTTCCCCACAGGCCCTGCGCCCAATTATAATCAATCTTGTGAGTTGCTGCGGAACCGCTTCGTTTCAAGGTTTGAGAACGAAGCCAAGAAGGTGTGGGCGCTGGGATTCTTTGCATGCAATCGATCACCTACAACCCCAACAAAGAGGATTAACTTCGCAAGCACAGTGAGCGGGGGTTGTAACTGTCGGAGCCGAGGAACTGAGTTAGGCTCCTCTGCGACGCACTACGAAGATGCATGGGCCTGCATGGACTTAACGGCAACAGCACAGAGCACCCTAGCAGCACATGGAAAAGATGAGCGACTGGCTCCGCATGAGATGCTACCGATGCCTGCAAGGCTCCTCGCGGCTGTCAGTCAGCTCGGATTTTTTCGATCGCTACATCGAGAATTACGTCTCCTACCCATTTCCTCCCTGTTCTACCGGGGTGCCGCTTATTGTACGCTCAGGACTGTGCATAGCCAGGGCTAGCAAGCTAGAAGAACTTGCAGACCATGATGTTGGGATTGATTGCCTGAACACAGTTGTTTAGAGACTAGTTTGGGCAAGGGAAGGCCTTGCCCACCCGTTTTGGAGTCGTGTATGCAACAGGAGAAATTCGTCACCCCATCTTCTTGGCGGGCGACCGGCAGGACTTCAGCATGCCAAAATGTGTACAACCGATGTTCAACTTGCTGCATGCCCGGCTAAGATTGTCAGGAGTTTCACTTGGGGATCAGCTCTTCAGGTACCCCCAGCTTGGGGCAATCGGACTTTGACACCCGTTTCGCAGCAAGTCCCTTTCGCATCATCCGCCGCACTTGTTCATCCTGTGATGCTGGCTTTCAAGACATCTACTATCGGCGTCTCACGGACATGCCAAGTGGCTTCTCTGCTTACAAGCAGATGGCCTGTGAATGGACCGAGACTGACAACAAGGGAGGGACAGATTTTAAGATCTACAGCAGCCTGGCAGATGCTATCGGAGACACGAACGCATGGTCTGAGTATGGCGGCTTTGGAAGTACGGATGTAGGCTTTCCAGGAACATCCGGCCCTTCTTCTGCGTCAAGTGGCCAGTACAGCAGCATACCCGTATCGGAATGTTCCTCATCTTCAACCGCGACTGGTGTGGACGGCAGCTTCTACATCTACGTCCCTTGGCCAAGCAAGATGGTCACGTTCGTTATGAATGTGTAGTCTTTGAAGTCGGCATGTGTCTTAGGACTACGCGTCCTCGGTGGTGCCTGGCACCTGCACCCGAAGTGTAGGAACTCTTGGCAGCGGTGCACAGTGCGAGGATGATAATGGCCAGGAGAGTCGATTGGGTTTCCTGATGTTCACGAAGGAATCTCGTGCAGCAAGATGGCAATCAACCGCCACGTCCTTTGCGGAGAACTTTGTCTGTGCTCGCTTCACAGGTGTGGAGTGGCAGTACTTGGAAGGGACCACATGGACTCAGTTCATCCCATACCCAACTGACGTACTTCTGGCTAGAATAGAGTTCGACAACAACACGATCACGTCGTTGAAAGGATCGGATGAAGAGTTTTACACGGTCAAGATGGGTTTCGTGGATGGGGACTTGGATTTCACGCTGGGCACCAGTTCCGTCACAATTGCCGGTACATCTTTTGTTGCTCGGTGCGGCGAGGATTTATGGTGCCGCGGCGGTATTCGACCAAGCGGAACGGACGGAGCATCGTACTGTTGTGCAAGTTCTTGTACAGTATGTGGAGGGGCAACTTGTTCCGACAATGGAGCCTTGGACATCTGCTGCTTGAGCACTCTGCTGGAAGCTGGGAGGGTTTGTCGCGACCATGATGATGTTTCCTGCTTGATTCCAGAGTCGTGACTCGCTGCAGTTCAGAGTTTGCCAGAGGTTTTCGGCTCCTTTGCGCATCCCTTGCTGTAAGACGTTGGATTCGTAGACCTTTGGAAGTGCCTAAGCGAAGGGCTTGGAGCTTTGGGCTAGTCAAGTCCAAGCAAAGTCAGGTCGGTTCTGTGCGGTGGCAGCCTGCAGCTGAGTAACTTCGAGTCTGCGGCAACCATGAAACAGGCTGGCTGGACCATTGACAGTGACAACGACGCCGACCTGTTCTCCCCAGATTCTACACTCAATGGCTGGTACAGGGGGTTTGCTTCGGGCTCTAATGCCGGGGGGATCAGTGTCACCCTCCGGGGATATGGGCAACTCGATCTGACCTTTGGAAATGGAAATTCGGTGTCGGGCACAACCAACCAAGTACAAGTACTCCTCGGCGGCAACGAAGTAGACACCGCCGACTCCACGCAGTCAGAGAAGACGGCTACTATCGATTTCACGGATGGGGATGTGTTGGAAATCAAGGATGCAGGGGACGCCATCATTCTTGTCAAGGGCCTTGCCTTCAAGTGCTTGGTACAGGATTTCTGGCCACGTGTGGTCATTAGAAGTGGAGAGTTTGGTGCTCCGAGCACCTGGACCGCATGGCCTGCGGAGGCCTGCTATCTTGAGGAGGAGTCGACTGGCACCTGGAGCGGCACGGTGAGTGTAAGCAGCAGCTCGATTTCGACTGCCAGCGAAGGTCTTTTCCCAGTGACTTACACATGCAGTCGAAACAACGTCCCAACAACAAGGACTGTGATCGTGAAAGTTCGAGATCCCATCGAGCTGGTCGGCCTTGAGGCCATGATCGTCCGCCAATCGGCTGGCTCAACCTTGGCAGATCCTGGCGCAGCATGTATCGACCGAGACTTGGTCCCGCTGGCTGTTTCCACTTCACCGTCAAGCATTGCGTTGGACAACGTTGGCGAGTACTCTTTCACATACTCCTGTACTGACAGCAGCAGCCGAACTTCCACAAAGATCCGCTATGTTCAAGTTGCGCCTGCCATAGAATTGAAGGGGGACGCAGTCATTGTTATCGAAAAGGACAAGACATGGAACGACCCGGGTGTTCAGTGCGTTGACGTCAACGGAGGTTTGTTGGCTCACACAGCCAGCCCTTCCCCGGTAGACACAACCTCGGCCGCCACGAACACGGTCACCTATACATGCACGGACAGTACTTCTGCAGCCCTGACCGCAACCAGGACCCTCTTCTCAACCTTTGCACTTATGTAACGTTTGCACTTCTGCTAAGCCGGCACCGGCACGAAGACTTAAATCTGGTAGTTTGTCATGTGTCTTGGTTGGGATTTGTTAGCTGGTGCGCCCTGGACCAGATGACCCGACGTGCAGCTTCATGTTTTGCATCCGTTACAGCCTTGCAATGGCCGGGGTGGGGGTTGTTGGGCATGCTGGGGCGGGAGAAAGCGGGCCACGGATTCGTGGCACCTATGGGCTTTCAATGCTTCAACGGAGCTGGCAAAAGAAGCAAGACAGCAGGCCGAACGCCGCGAAGTCGAGGGCCGAGGCGGCCGAGGGTCGCGGTGCCCGCTTTGCTCAGTTGGCTTGTGGTGTTGGTGGGTGGGCAGCCAGTCGCGAAAGCTGTCACTTGATGCATTCTTTTTGAATTGAAGAACGCATTTCTTGCTTTTGACGTTCGTGCACTTACAGCAAACGGGAAAAGTCGAGTGCTAGTTGCTGACCTATGTCCTGCGGAGCTGTCACGGGCGTGCTAAGTGGGTGACAGAAATGAAGAGTTGAGAAAGTGACAAAGGGTCTACAGTTTTCATAGTTCTCTTTGCTGCATTTTGGTCTAAAGCTTGTGTGGGTGGCAGGCAGCGTCATGAGCATCATTGGAATTTGAAGCGTCCTTCCAGAGTCTTTGTCACCAGGGAAAGAGGCTTGTCGATGCCGTTTGCTGCAGTGCGGTATAATGTAGCTGTTTATCCAGTCCTACCCTGAGCAATCTTCAATTTTGTCAGATTCGCCGGAGCGACAACCCAAGATGCATTCGGAACCCTCGCTGGTTTTCGTGAGGTCCATGCCCAACCAGCATTGTGTTCATGATGCAACGTTTCGTGGAGGACCAACGTAGGATCGGCTATCGTAGGTCCAAAAGATTTCACCAGGCTGCGGCCGTGGCCGCCCCACCGCAGGTTTACTGCTCCAGCCCCCACTTTCACTTTGCGTCGGGTGTTTTGTAGAAATTTGCCTTTAAATTTGCCTTTGATGGCCTTGAGCTCTCCAAGGTTCCCGTTGCCGACGATATCTCCTGTTGGATTGTACCGTCGTGCATAGAAGCTGGCAAGACTTCGCCTACGGCCTAGGGGTTCCATCAACAAATACTCGCAACTCAAAGAGGAGGCCGTGTAAGCTTGCATCCAATTTCCACATCCTGCCAGCTGATACGCAAATGGAGCCTGACCTGCCATGTGAAGTGATGAGTTCCAGTTCGGTTTTCCGTACCTCATCGGGTTTCAAGGTTGATGGCAACAATTGTGGGGGGGTAGAGTTCTGCTGAACCATGAGTGTGACTTTACCATATGCAACAGGCAACACTGTGTTTGCGAGCCGCTGCAGCTACACTTTGTCTTGAGGACCGTGATTGTGACGAGCGGCCTGCCCGGAACCATTGTTCAGGGTCCCAGCTCTGGCATTGTCCTACTTCTCGGTGCCTCGGTGCAGAGCCATTCAGTGGTAGTATACGTGCTATCGGTGCATAGAAACGGGCCAGTTATGCCTCGCAGAACAAACCGAGGAGAGACGTTTCAGGATCCTGGGGTCTGCTGCAAGGATAGCCACAATCAGGTCTTGCCCTTCTCCAGCATCCTGAATACCGCGCATTCTGACTGGAGCGGGTTACAAACACTGTTCTACAGCTGTACAAGCTTCGACGTGTCTGAAAGTGCCGTGCGGACCCTCACAGTCAACAACGTGCCAAAGATCTTTCTCACGGGTGATGCTGAAACATTGTCGGTATTGGATAACTTGTATGTAGAGGCTGGGGCAGTTTGCACAGACATCGAGGATGGTCTCATAACGGCTTGGGGAGCGACTGGCTTGGGGAGTGCGCAGAAGCTGCCCTTGCTCAGAGCGGGCGCAAGCGGGACGGTGACGTCGGGCGCAGCGGAAAATATTATCGATGGCGACGAGGCGAGCTCAGTGACTCAAGCTTGTGAGTCCTGCGTAGAGGTTCCTCAGTCGCTGCACTTGTGGGTAGACCTGGGTGCCGGCAAAGTTGTCCACCAGTACGCACTGGCTGGGACCGTGTCCGGAGCCAGCATTTTAGTCGGGCCGGACATTAATGTCGGTCCTGCTTGCAAGACTGGCATCACGACCTCGCTTGGGAGTTCTTCGATAGTGGACTGCGATGCTCCTTTGGCCGGCCGGTTCGTTACGCTGGTTGGGTCTGCTTCCTCCATGAAAGTCTGCGAGCTCACCATTTACGGCACGGTCGGGCCCGCAGCACCTGCTAGAATCAATATCACAGGTACACCAGCAAGCTGCACTGGAGTTGATGCTGTCACGCTGGAGCTAGCAGGACACAACGACAGCGCCTTGGGTGTCATGTACTCCACTCAGCTGCCTGGCTCGAACAACGAGTTGCGTACAGATCTAGGCACGGGACCTCATCTACAGACAGAAGCTGTGGCCGGCAAAACTTTGGGTACTCCTGGTTCAGAGCGATGGGTACTGCGTGATTCAAACTGGGTAGAGCAAGCCTATGCCAGTGGAGGAGAAAGCTTTCCACCATTGGATGGAAGCCAATGGACTATTTCAGGGAGTGGCGCGACTTGTACGGGCCTCTCCTTCGCAATCGATCCCGAAGACTCGTGTAGCTGGCTGTTCGGGCCATCAAGCGCTGACGACCAGCAGCTCAGCCGAATCTTTGCAGATGGTGCACCTGAAGCCCCCGAGCCTGCCCACTAGTTCGTTCCAAGGTATGGCTGCGGGGATGGCAGCGAGTGCAACACGGAGGGCTGCTGCTCCACGGCGGGTGGTCTTGCACGATGTCCGCCCAATCTCCCGAGGATGTGTGAGGCACAGACCTGCGGCAGCCACTTAACTGATTCTTATTTCGTTTGCGTGCCAGTGACTGGCGATTTACAGCCGAAAGGATTGTGATATCGGGTGATGCGTCGATTTGCAACATCTGAGGCGACTACTGCTGCAAAACGGATTGTACCATGACTGAATCGTAGGTTGCACTCCACCAGTAACCTCCCTGCTGCCTGCGTGTCGGTGACATGGATGATTGCTCAGGTGCTTCTCATAGTGGAAATCGCTTGTGCAAGCAAAGCTCCCTGCCTGCTGTTACCAGCACTGGAAGCTCCACGCTGGCACGGATGGAAGTGGTGAATTCCGTCTTGCCCAACGACCCTGCAATCTACAAGGTGACGTACACTTGCGCCTGAGATGAACTCGGAGTGGACTGTGGACTCAAGTCACTTTAGTCCCGGATGTGCATGCTTGGCCCTCCACAATGCTCAGGCTATGATTCGGCAGGTGCGCATGTCTCTGTCACGAGAACGGTGGAGGTGGGATGTGAAGATCCAAACCCCGGTGGAACCTACGGCGGCAACCGCGTTGCTTGCAGCACGATTTACAAAGAGATGCATGGTGCAGCACTAGTGAGGTTTTCCTGGTGTGCTGCTGTTGTACGCACAGGAAGCGATTCGTGAAAGCGGCCGCTGCGCGCTCTAAGGACAGAGAACGTTGCGAACTACGATGCCTGCGAGACTCTCTGCTTGTCGGCCAACAGCACTGAATGTGTGGCATACTCGTTTTTCACCAATGGTACATGCCAATTTCTAACGCTTTGCACAGGCCGGGCAAGGACTTCTCTCGGTGTTCAAGAGGTTTTGCTGTTGATTTGAAATCTTTGGTGTCCGCAGGGCGCTACTTCATGATTATTAACGGCACTGACCGGCATGTGGCATATTGCAGACGCGTGGACACAGCTCCCAGCATTTACCTCGAAGATGGTGTCAGCTGGTTCCTCTTGGGTGCCACGACTTACAGCCTGCCGAAGGTGAGCTGCTCGGATTCTGAAGATGCTGGAAACATGGGGGACCCGACAGACAACATCAACAGTGTCGTGGATGTAAACACGGCTGGGAATTACATTGAGCCCTCCCTGAATTAAATTAACGTTTTTCGCTTGGGCTTCTCTGGCACGTAGCCTTGGAGCGGGTGTTTGCATACCATCCTGCCCGCAGGTAACATACACGTGCACGGACAGCGCGGGGCAGTCAACAACTGGAACACGGACAGTCACAGTAAAGGCAAACTGCTCGGTGCCTACAGTCGTCAATCAGAACTCCACCACCGGCTACTGTGTAGAGGGGACGACGTTTGCTCATGGCACCACGTGCACGTCCTCGACTCAGTGTTCTGATGCGAGCTCGCTCGTATTGAAGAGAAAGCCCGTAGGGTTGCATGCCTGCTGCACTGGGAGCAGCTAAGGGGTGCCTGCAACTATGGCTATGCGCCACGAAATCCAACTCATACCTGCACTACCAAGTCAGACACTGATTACGAGTCTGCGTTTGATCCCTCTCTTGCCACTTGGGCCTGCAAGTGATGTGTTTCTTTCTCGTCGTTGTTTGGGAGTGCTAGGACTAGGAATAGCAGAAAAAACCAAAGTTCTGTGTCCAGATGCTGCGCAGATCTTCGTGCTAAGTAAGTAGGCCAGGCCCTAGAAGTCGGGCAGGCGTTGTCAGCTAGCAGCTAGCACTATGCGTATACGGCTTGGTTTTGGTTGTCAAGTCCAGCCACATTTTGCGCCAAAGAGTTCTTTCAAGCCTCATCGTCGCACTTCGCCATACCATGGTCGGCGCTCTGCGCCCTCAATCACTATCGAAAGATCCCTCAGCTGGAAGCAGCCTGCTTGGCGCCTGTCGCATGCGAGACTGCCTCAGTGATGCAGATCGCAGGGCGGAAACGGTAACTCGATGCAAAGTTCAAGGAGAAGCGGCAAGGCGACGTCCTCCAGCGTGGCTAGCGCGGGCGATCCGCAGCTAGTCCCTTTGGTCCCTCCTCGGCCATGCCAGCGGGCCTTTCTCCGCCTAAGCCGAGCATTTCCGGCCTTTTTGGCGGTGCGGAGCCGGAGCCATCTCTGGGAGTGCTGCTGTGACCCTTGGCGCTTCGATGTCCACGGCCACAGAGCCCTCTGCTTCACCAAAAGTGACTGGGAGGTGCGGTTCTGCTGCGCTGCGTTGCAGGATGTAGACCAGTTTCAGAGGCTGCGGCTCCAGGTCATGTCTGCGAGGCCGAGCACCAGGCCCGATTTCTCTCCAAATGTGGGCAGCCGTGAGTATGCCTTCGTCACGTATCACAAGACGGGGACGTTCGTAGCAACGCAGCTCATCGGGTATGACGAGCTACCGGGTCCCTTTGCATCTGTGCTTCTGGGAGCAACGAGGAAGCACTTCGATCATGATCTCAGAGGGCAAAACTCAACCATCTTTAACTCTTCCGTTGAGTACACGGAGACATTCATGCGCGTCGGTTTGCATGGTCGCCTGGTGTTGATCTACAATCCCTTGGAGCACGAGATAAAGCAAGATGCCAGTTTCATCCTGTCAAAGGGGAAGATCGTTCACTTCATCCGCCGACCAAGCAGCATTATCATCTCGGGGTACATGTACCATCTCAAAGGCTCCAAGTACGAGTATTGGCTTCATGCCTCGAACCCCCCAAACTGCCACCACTGTGACTATGAAGCTTGGGAGAGAATATTCCGACCCTGTGACTTCGGATGCACATACTTGGAGCGGTTGGAGGCGGAAGACTTGAAGGAGGGCCTTCGCCTTGAGGTTTTGCGAGCACGGTGGACTATCCTCAAGATGCTGCAGAATTGGAACCGCTGGAAAGATCTGCCGAATGTTCTGCATATCTCGGCTTCAGAATTCCTGGCCAACCTCACGTCGGCTCTTCGGAAAGTTGCCTTCTTCTTCGAGCCTCGCATGCCTAGCCACATGCTCCCGCGGCTGCTTGCTGCTTCGATCGAGTCAGGCCTTGATCCGACAAGTGCTCTGACAGGCTGCTCGAGCAGAAGGTGTAAGGAGGAGGTGGCTTTCGCTTTGAGGCACTCGTCGGCCACTGTCAATGAGACTCTCAAGAAGAGCGCTCAAGAGATGTTACCATCCATCGAAGAGTGGCGAGCTGACATTGTGCCTGCAGATACCTTTTATGATGCCCTTTGGTCACGACAGGGACGTTGACAGTCCAGTGGCGAGAATTCGCAGCAGCTGGCCCCTCCGCTTCCAGGAATCCTACTTGCCCGGAGCATACATTTCCAAGGCACGAGTTGAACGAGTTACGCACTCTTCGGGACAAGAAAAGGATCCCCCTCCTCTTCCATGACACACAGTAGTAGGTCCTCAGGTTGTGGCAGCCCGCACAGCATGTCTTCCGGCAGCCGAGATCTTGTGCGATGTCCTTCCTTGCAACGAGCCCTCCGTCGCGAATTCTGCTGTCAGTCCTACAGATGGCAGCATGGACCGCAATCCAGCCGTATCTGCGCTGTGCAAGAGCTCTGCCGACCTCGCTGGGTCGCATCATGCTTTTCCAAGCTGCCAAGGCCAACCGAAGGCCTGTGAAGAGAGCAATACCGCGCGTCGCTGGGAAGCAGAAGTCAGTCACTCGTCGTTTGAGTGGACTTGTCTCTCTGGACGGCAGCAGGTGAGATTCCGGATTCCAGCGCGCCTTGGCCGATCACCGTTCTGAGGCATGCTGATGGCCACATGCTGCCGGCCCAAGGTTTGCACTCCACAGTGCGCTGATGGCTATGTTCCGCGTGTTCCAGGTGTTGGTTCGGGTGCTACGCTGGCCTGCTCAGCCAAGATTTTGGACCCACCGACCTTTGTTTGTCACCTGCCGGTGCTGATTAGGGTTGCTCTGTCGGTACTTGGTGGAATGACGTCCCCTGCCGCAAGACAGCTTCATAAGGTGAGCTGCCGGCCGCCCCTCCGTTGTCGATCTTCGCACCTTCAAGACCTAAGCCGGAGGGCGCTGTGGATATCACGCACCTTGGTCGCAAACTGGAGCCTCTTCGAGAGCTCGTCTGTCCTTTTTTCTCATTTGCACTGAGGCTCCAGTTTGCAACTGGCACGGCCAACGATTGCGCTTGGTCTGGCGCTCCGGCTGCAAAATTTGCAACTTTGTCTCGGCCACGTGCATCCTTGCAGCGAGGATTCATCTTCGAGGGCAAGGAAGTAAAAAGCGGTGAGACAACGACCTACGGCGAGATGGTCGGATGTGAAAACAGACCCTCAGCAGGAAGTGTGCCTGTGGATTCAGATTCGGGGACGCGAAACCGGCTCTCTGTCAAGGCATTTTCACGGCACGAGATGTGGTGACATGTATGGCGACCGGCTTGACGGAGGGCGGCGGGAAGCTGAGCTTGCCCTGCATGTCAGCACTCGAACTCAGCTGCAGTGTAGTGGCGCCCAGGTGATTACCAGTTTCGTGTCATGGAGGTTTGTACTGACACGAACATGAACAGCCCTTGGACAGAATCTGACACTTGACATGCTATGGCATGTTTTTTAGCTTCGTAGTCATATGTGAACTAAGCCATCCAAACACGGAGACACGTGTTGACGCAGGAAGTGTTGACACTGCGATTCGTTATCGTCCCAGCTCCTGGTTCAGCAAGCTGGAGAGCGTAGGTTTCCGAGCCGGGTATGTACAACACCGACCAGGGTGAGCCCAACAAGCCGAGGACATTTTGCTCCTGCTCCCAGAGGGCGATCAGTACAGTGCCGTTAGCCAGGTGCTCCTCGCAATGCAGGTGCGAAGTGCCGTCGTTTGTATGCATATCTGACATGGATGTGTGTGTGTGTGTGCGCGCCCATGTTCAGTGCGCACATGGATAGGTACATGCGTAGATGCAGACGCGCACGTGTGCATGCATTCATAGTTCACATTGTTGGCATAGCTGAAATGGTGGTAGTAGTCGAGTAGTAGCTGATGGAGCAGAAGAACTCTCTCACGTGTGGGCGTGCATGTGCCGTCGTCTTTGTCACGTTTCTTCACGGGTGCATGCGTGACGTGCATGTACATGCCTGTCTGCCTCTGCTTGTCTGCCTTCCTGTATGTCCACGGTTTCTGATGAAGTCTCTTGGAGTTGCAGTGCAGCGAGGTGGATGTGTACGTGACGTCCGACACGAGCAAAGCTTTCGTCATCGATCGCAAGAACATCCGAGAGGGAGGTGAAGAGTCCTGGCTCTGTTTGCGATTGTCTGCGGCGTTTCGCCGCAATCGCCGCATGACTAGTGCCCGTACAAGCAGGCCACGGAGCACGATCCCGACTGGACTAGCTGTATGAAGCCGTCAGCTGAGGAGTGGTGTCCGACCATCCAATGGCGTGTGCCTGCGGATTCGCTACCTGGCTGGCGGTTGGCCGATTGAGTCCGAGAGGCCTTTCGTAGCGTTATGCGCTGCCCAGGATCATCGATGGCAGTCCATCTGGAGCTTCCACTGTCGGCCTGATTCAGGATCACTCCGTGGGATCTCGCTATTTCTTGACTCATAGTAGAGTGTGACGGAAGTGCAAGCTGGTTTGTCATTGACATGAGCTACTGAGTGAAGCAGATGCAGACTGGTACAACCTCTGTGTAGTAGAGGTCTATTACAATATCGCTCTGAGTGTAGGCCTTGGTTGTTGAAATTCCGGTAGGCAGCCATTGGAGCCATCTCCACCTACGCTTGGTGAATTCGAGTTTTTTGTTGGTACATTTGTTGCATGTGCCCTATTCGTGTCTTTTTGTTGCCCTTTCTGTGATGCACCTACTCCATGCCGACCCTCTGGATTTCGTGGGTGGGCTGAAGCTGGTCAAGCTCCGTGGTTCAGGAGCGGATTCTTATTGCAAACTTCCCAGCGGACGACTTCATCAAGCCTGGAGACTTGGCTTGCATCTCACAGTTCTGCAGTAGAACCCGCGCAGGAACACCCCCTTCCTTTGCACTATGTCATTAGTGTCATTAGTGCATCGACTGCACGTCCGGATGATGACCAGGATGCTTCTATGATATCGCTTTCGAAGAAGGCACGGCTCTTAGTTGGACTTGCCCGTAGCATGGAGGGTGCCATGGTGCGACCCTCCACCCTGTCATGGCAAGCGCTGCAGGTTTGTTTGTGACGGAGGACACTCCGTCCAAGGTCAATCCTGAGTTTCGGATGCTTGTCTGAACTGCTTGTTGGATAGCCAGAATTTCTGACAGCTGGCTTTGCAACGATTGAGGTGGAATTTCAGCTACATTGATCCGTCTCCAGTGAGGAAGGTACTTCAGGTAAGTTCGCAGGACCGGGTGGGCTCGCAGCTTGTGCGTGCCAGTTCAGTGCAATCACATGCCCTCTGCTGCGATTGCTGCTTGTAGAAGGAAGTAAAGGATGACGGCATAGAAGTGACCTTCCTCGCCGCTTAGATGCAGTGGTGCCAAGTAAGGCATCGGCCCCTGTCAGTGTACCTGGATTGATGTAGGGCTGCAGGTCGTAACCCACCACGTCATGCAATTATGCTGGAAAGTATCTGCCCAGAGCTGACATGCAAGGTTCAATATGATTTGGCATCAGAGATCAATTGCTGCCCGACCCAACAGGGCATGCAAGCTGTTTGCCGATCCGATTTGCATCACATCTTGTCGTGCATTCGCTTTGCGACTCAGTCAGCACGGCCGGTGGCAAAAAGCCTTTTCCTCGTAGGCACCGTTGCAGCGGTGGAGCCGGATGCGGCGCCCTTGCGGGTGACTGGCCGGGTCGGCACGGGTGCCTTGCGGCAGCCGATTTACAGCAGTGACGTCAACAGGACACATGCAGAAGCAATGTTCGATGTCAACACGCCACCAGATGACTGCTGGCATAGGACAGCCGGTGAATACACGGTCTTCGATGACACGGCTTTCAGTTTCAGTGTTCCGGCTCTGGTGCCAAGCAAGCAGTGCCCCCTGGAGAGAAAGGTTGGCAGACGGCAGACATATCTGTACTCTTGTGCGAGGTACACCATCAACTGTGACGGCTGGAAACGCTCCAAGCCCTGGGTTCCTGTTGTTTGCTCGAACTTTCCGGAGGCGTGTCCGGATGTTAGCCACTTGGCGCTGTTTCGTCGTTCAATCCCCCTGATCCCTGAACTTTACTCTCACATTATTACATGCGCTGAGCGTTCGAGGCTTCACAACACTGGCTGACACCCGTGGCAAGTCTCAAGTCATGGTTGGGTTCCCTCTTGCTCAGTTGGTGGTTTTGCGCGCAAAGGTGCGGATCTGCAGTCTATTGGCATTCTGAAGGTGGCATTGTGTGCCGACGGCACGCAGGCCAGATGCGGTCATTAGCCATGGTTACATTTGGCCTGTTTCGTGCATTCTTGACCTGCTCCCCGTCTGAAGGTCACGATGTCATCGCGACTTGGATGCAATATCGGGGATCGCTTTTGCGTCCCTGTTTTGCAACCATACTGCCCCTCGCTCCCTGTGTGAGGGAGATTCAGACATTCGCGCAAGTGGCAACTGGAATAGTTATGCTGCTTTCGCAGCATGAGCGTGTATGTGCCTGGCACTGCAAAGCAGATGAGGATTCGGAAACAGGCTTGCCGGGCTGCGTAGGCTTCGAGCGCACTTGTAACGTGCTTCACACCTGCAGAACTGGGGTCGGCTCGGTTCTGAGGCGGTGTTGAGAAAGCAGTGGGCGAGGTTGCCGACACCGAGGTGAACTTCACGGCTGATGACTCAGGAGTGCAACAGTTCAGGAGGTGTGGGAATGGCATGGCATGACGAAGTCGAGCCGCCCAGGTTGCTCCAGTGTCCGACTTCGCTACCATGAGCCTTGTTTCAACGACAAGAGGCCCTGGAGTTGCCGATGTTTCTGCCTTCTGACGAGGACGTACAACAATCCAGAGTACGAGTATCACAACTTCTCGTATGAGAAGCAAGCTGATGGCGCCAGACTGCTGATGCTGACTTCCTCTCTGGACGTAACGGTTTGCTCTCACGCCCATTCCACCATTGATGCCACGACTTATCCCTGCACAAATTATGTGGGTGCCTTATCCGGGCTAGGTGAAGCTCGGGCCAGAGACGGGCCCAAGGGTCTTTGCAGTGGCTCAGGCTTTCAACGTCTCTTTCACGGATACAAAGCTGGCAATCTTGAAGATAACTGTCACTCCAACAACTGGAGCATCTTACTCCGTTGAGGGGGCCGGCTCGGAGATAATGGCTCGGAACGGTGACTGGGACAGAAGTTGGAGAAGCTTCTGAGTCTTTCTGTAACGTCTGCGACATGCTGCACTGCTTGTGCTCTCGCCTGCTCATGTTGGCAACGAGCTCAGGTGACCTAGTTACTTTTGACATGGAGAAGGATCCGGTCACGCAGTTGACCGACATCAATGTTTCTCTGGGCGGCTCCACCTTCTTTCCGCAATTGACCTCGGTGCCCAGTGAGCTGCCAGCCTCATCCAGATGGAGTGCATGCATCCGTGTCCTCTGTTCCAGACTTTCGTATGGGCATCGGTAATGAGAACCAAGGTTCGTAATGACGACAAACATTGAGGGGCAGGGACTGTCACTGCCAGCTATGAGGCTGCACCAAGATCTTAGGGACAAACAATCAGGTCTTCATGCGGTGATTCGAGCCCTGCACTCAAGTCGCAAACTGACAAACGACCAAGGTCAAGATGAAAATGAGTCGCTCGACCGCACAGCATGCCCGAATGCCCTCCTGATTCGACATGTATCTGTCTGAGGTGGGGTGGATTTCGACATGGCTCCTTGTCTCTTTTCTTTGGAAATTGCTTCAAGGTTAGGCAGTGCTTGTGAAAGCCTTCCCTGCGACAGCCAGGAGTACAAGATCACTTTCCAGACTCCCACCGTGACCCCGCAAATTTTGACGCCAACATTGACAGCCTCGGGGCAGAGCCGGAATCTCATGACTGAGCCCTGGCAGCAGCTGCCACTGCTTCGGTTATGCGGGATGCTCGCGACTCCTCCAAACTGAGGTTCTGGACAACGTGCCGACGACGGCATCTGTCATTGAACAGGTGGAAATCCCCTTGCGAAACCTTCAAGCTAGTCGCTACTAGTAGGTGAAGGGGCCCTAGCAGGAGCATGCCATGAGAATCAAACGAAGATCGAGCCTGAAACTTCCCTACTGAAGAAAGACCGAAGAACGAGGAGGGATGCACAAGAGTTGTGCAAGCTTTGCACTAGAGACTGCGTGTCCTTGCAGCCTTGCAGGTCAGTAACCCAGCGGACTTCATCCGACTCAGTCTCCGGAAGGTTGGCGAGGAGACCCAGGAACCGCCAGGATTTTGTGAACAGCAACTCGGACATGGAAAGCTTTTTGCGTCATTGCATGCTCCAGCAGATCCCCTTGGAGCTTCGCTTGGTGGCAACGAGGCAAATATTCTCCGAAGGCTGGACCAAACTAGATTGTGTCGTGACGCTAACCCCTCTGAACAAAGACAGCCTGGTGCTGGAACCTTGGCGACTGTTGGCCTGATGACACAAATGAGGCCAACGTGTGCAGGTCCTTGAAGCCTTGAAACTGTCGTTCGCGGACCCAGGAAATACAAGTGAAGAATTTCACTTCCACGCTATGGCAGCTTGCAAGCGATTTTTCTATGACAGGGCAGGTTGACTTCCAAGCTCCTTGGACCAATGCTACGAAAAAATCCCACTAGCACCGCAGTGGTGGCACCACAGTTCCGCGGATTCGTGCCGTGCTGCAGCTCGGACCAAGGCACCAACTGTGACCGGTTTGTTCACGAGAGATGCAAGTGGGGCGCAGTCGAATGGTGTGGTCGTGGAGCAGGTCCCTGTATGTTAAAAAGCTGTTAGATATGGAAACACACCAATGCCACAGAATGTAGGGGAGATTGGAGCCCTCCGTTAAAGAGAAGTTCTGCAGCAAAGGTCATGACATCGGATCCTGTCTTCTACCTCCAGGGACAAAACTTTGCAAGGCTCGCGAGGATGTCTTCGGGGTTAAAAGAGAGTCTTGACTACCCTGAACAGTCTCATGGACCTTTCGCTGACCTATGTGGATTCGAAGATTTATCAGCTGTGGTTGGTGCTCGACCGGGCTTCAAATTCAAGGCTCTTGTTCTGCTTCTCGGCTCAATTGAGTGGACCGTGCCTGACGGTCCAGAGGTGTGGGTCTAGTTTAGAACCCCTATGATCTCCTAATTGGGTTTTGGCATGGCTTCGTAAAGTTTGCCACCGCTGTCGTATCCGTAGCTCATGCAAATTCTGAGGCTCCTCTGTCGAGTATGTGTCGGACACGGAGCTGCCGCCGGGCTGCTTTCGGGTTTTCTGACGACCGGATCACTGTGTGCGAGAGCTTCGTTGAGAAGACGTGTGTGAGAGAGCTTTGAAATTTGTGTGGGTTACTTGAGTGAGTATCCTAGCCATGCTTCACTTGTTGGAGGTAGCATGCATGTGCACACAAAGACACCTGAGTGCAACAAGTGCACAGCCAGCTGCTTGTCACGCTCTCGTCTGAGTTGTGGTATGGTAAACATGAAGACATGGTGGATTCTGTCCGTGCTGAAATTTGCGTTCCTGGGAGTTCGTGACACCCTCAGCTGCCACATGCGAACCACCGTGCGCTTCGGGTGCCCTTCCCTGTTTTAGCCATGAGACGGGTATCTGGGACTTCCCTGCTTTTCATCTCAGGAAGTGTTTGATTACCTCGTGCTTGGATGCACGGAATGTCCCGGCGGCTCCAGAAGTTGTCCTTCAAATTGGTGATCTCGAATCCACTTCCGTGATTGGTGGCGGCCTCGGAAAGACCCCATCCGGAGAGCAGCGGAGTTGCACTTAGCCTCCTGGAATCAGGACAGCTGACGCTTCCACAGCCCCAGATCTCGATCATCACCCCGGCCGCTATCTTCGATGCTGGCCGGGGCTCCGCATGCAGTGCCCAGCCAGTGCTCCAGAATCATTGGTCTGTCAGGCTACTCGGAGATCGAAATCGAAGGCGTCTCCTTCGGCGAATTCCTGGCTGCGGATGGCGACTTCCAGGAGGGCCTGCGTAGACTTTGCGGTGACGAAGCGAAGTTGTGATGCTCTGGACAGCCCAGGCGGCCTGCCTCTCGTGGCAGACGAAGCTGAGCAGCTTGCTCGCGGCAGACTCATCGAGGCCTGCAAATCAATGTTAACAGCGCAAGCCACAAGCGTCGCTGCTTGAAGACTCAGGAGGCTGAGCTTGGCGGACCAGATTCCAGCTCTGCAAATGCTGGGAACGGCAAGCGTAACTGTCGGTTTGGCAACCTGCACTGTGCAGGCCGGGTCCTGACGCCCGTAAGCCCGCATGCAGGCCGCAGTGCTCGCCTTTCTGTGAGGTGCAAAACAACAGCTACGTGAAGTGTTCGATGACAAGCCCTCGTCGCGCATCTCGGGAAGCTCCGGCGGCCGGTGAACTCTTGGGCCGGATCATCTCCGAGCCCCTCAGCTTCCGATGCAGAGCTAGAAGCGGCACTAGCTGCCTGAGTGGATGCGGCCCCCAAAGCAGTGCAGCCGAGGAATGTGGACGCCCCCTGGATAACAGATAACATTCAAGCACCCCTCAGGGTGGCAGTTAGGCGTGACGCCCTTGGAGTGGCTCAGGTAAACGTGATACTGAAAGTGGGGTCGCTCGAAGAGATGAACAAGCCGGTGTTACCAACGCAGATTTCCCAGTGCGAGCAGGACTCTTGAATCAGATGTAGCCAGCGGTACCCACCTAAAGACGAGAGAGGGAGGGACAGGGAGACAAATTGATAGCAGGGGCATGGTCATCGTCCAGCCGCCTCGCGTATTCTAAATGAAGCTTTTCGCCTTCGTGAGGAGGGGTACTATCGACCAAGCGAGGAGACCGGGCGAGCGAAGTTGCCACGCAGTGTTACTTCAACGGCTGTTGTTTCAGCTGGAGATGCGAATGGCTGCCTTCTTGCAAGGTTGAAGCCGAAGGTAATTTGCAGATGCCGTACTTGTTGTTTTTAGGAGAGCCACAGCTTCGACGATTCACGATGCAAGCTTCTTCTTACCCAGTTCTTACCAACAGACGGGTAGACATGTTGAGTAGGCAGCTCAGGCTACAGAACCAGCGTTGCTCGCAACCAAAATGCTTGGCTTTGAATGTTCTGTTTCATCAGCTGAAGCCATCGGAGCACGTCCCAAAACCATGATGGTTGAAGGGCTGCGTTGAGTTTTGCTTTCTGGCTTCGTGTGCATGGATGTGCCTGCAGTGTCACCTATCCGCCAGCAACACAGAACCTACTCATACCTACTCAATGTCTGTATCTGCTGTTCGTGGATGCAATTGTCCTTGCAATGATCCCTGGCTGCGCTTGCTCTTACCGCCCCACCTCTGCGAGGACAGTGATGGCTGCGAGCCTTGTCCGAAGGGCACATATTCCAACCGATTCTCTGATCAATGGCCGCTGGGGTGCACCTTCTGCCCCTCTACGTCATATCAAGATCAGGACGGGGCATCGGTCGTCGAGCAGATCTGTTTACGCTCCGGCTGTTTCCCTGACAGGTGGGCCAGACGGCATGCTTGCCATGTCCAGCAAATACCTTCTCAGTTCCGCCGGCCGTTTCCTTGGAAGACTGCCGCTGCAAGAAGGGTTACTTCTCACCGGTTTATGATGCGAGCCAAACATATGGCAAGCCGGGTTATGCTTGCGTTGCGTGCCACACCGAAGACTTCACGAAGCTTTGCTGAAGCTTCAAAGTTCGAGGGACTGCGATATTCCCGACTTATGGATGTGTGCCAGTTGTTAAATCATTAAGGACACAAGCCATGGACGACGAGCCCTGCTCCGTCGATGTTCAGGGAACGCTCTGTGACGAGCCTGTGTCGCAGGTTTGCGTGCCGAGGGTGACAGGCTCCTTCGACTACCGGCTTTGCATGATCTACTGTGCCGGTGGGACCATGTTGCCGCTCGCGAAGCCGTACTTCTACATCTCCAAAGCTCAAGCGGCTACCAACACTCAAAATCCAGGCGTCGAGGAGTACAAACCTGTCATTGAAAGCTGTCTGCCCTCGACAGCATGCTTGAATGCAGCTTGTCTGCAGCGCAGCGGCCTTGGAGAAGTATGCAGACGGTGAACTTCTGCCGTTTTCTAGTCTCGGCATCATCCAAGGGAAACCAGTGCAACACCGGTTATGAGGGTCCAAACTGTGGTGCGTGCGTGTTCGGATACTTCCAGGACATGCAGCACAGTGTTTTGAGTTCTCTGCCTATGTTTGTCCTGGTCCTACACTGCAGGATCCGGAGTCAAACGTATGCACTCGATGCGGGGAGGATCAGGTCCTCGGCACTCTGATCTTCAGTGCTCTCGGCATGTGTGGAACCTTTGGAGCCTTCTTCCTATCGCTCCTTTACCTGATCCTTGTCGTGCAAGGAATGCGTGTGCCGAGAGAGACAGAGAGGTAGTGCAGCTACCAGCCACTGTCAGTCCTTGCCTCCACATCTCAGGAAAATGCTCTCCGATCCCATCTTTAAGGGTCAGATCAAGCTCTACATCGCACGCGGCTAGGTTGCAGTTGCTTGCAGATCTCTGAGATAGATGCCAGCTGCCATAGAGACGCTGAGGCAAAATCGTGGATCGCATGAAAGCAGCTATGGGAGGAGGTGGTGGAGGAGGTGCCAGTGTTTTTTCGTTTACTGTGCTGTCCTTGCTGAATTACCGGTGCGGGATGCCATGTTTTCTCGGAGGCCAATCTTGAGGGAAGCTCGCTGGACATGACGCTTGTGTTTCAGGTGGGGGCAATCCGTTGATGAAAATGATCGACAAGTTTCGCTTCAAGCGTGTGACCTTGATCATCCGCAAGCAAGATATCGCAGGCCGGCCAAGTGCACATTGCTTCTCGGAGAATCGCGTTTAGAGCCGTGTGCAGCGCTTCAAGGATACTGGCCGTATTTCCAGAACAAGGACTTGGGCTTCGTTTTCCGTGTGGACAAGGATCGAACCATCCACGTGGCCGGCGTACGCCCCGGGTCGCCCGCATCTCGCCTCGGCATCTCTCACTCCTGGCGGCTCCTCGTCCTCAACGGCAAGCACCTCCGGGCTGACACTGTGCCTTGCCTGCTCCCATGACCTTCTGCACCCAATGCGGTTCGTTGTCATCTCCTTGTTAACTTTGCGGCACTGAGGAGCAGGTGGCTTGGTGCTGCATGAGATGAGCCTGCAAGTGAATGATAGTGAGAGTTCAGGCAGGCCTTGCGGCGCTTGACTGCTTCACGTCATGCCTGAGGACGTGCAGGATGCGCTGTCCAGTTGCAAGCTGCCGTGCCTTGGCCACAGCATGTGATGCTGTCTCCGGGCTGTGCCTCAGCGGAGCCAGGATCTACTGCCTCTTCCGCGCTCCTCGGGCAGAAAAAAGCGATGACGAAGCCGAGCTCGACACGTCAGATGCCAAAGTTGCTTGGCGAAACGTAGGGGGTCAGGAAGATTCCCGTTCAGTTCCTGCCGTGCAGGAACTGAGTGCCTCGGGGGTGCGGCTCATCACCATGTCTCTGTCGATCATGCAATCCTTCAATGGAATTGGTCGGATAGATCTGGAATGGCCAGCGCCTTGTCTGCGAGCGACGCCGTGGTTGTGATGTTCGTTTCGGAAGTGCGATGGCCGGGCTACCTTTTTGGAGCTAGTTTGTTGAGACATGTAATGGAACAAGACACATCGAGGTGCGTTGTTTACCTTGTTTAAGTCTCGGCCTCCGATATTCAGGGTTGATGCACACTCAAACTTGGAGTGTAAGTAGTGCCGCGAATGACTGCATCCTGCATTGGCTGTCGCTTCTCTACCAGGGGCGGGGTGTTAAGAGTGACGTGCGCTAACATCATTAGGACCCACTTTGCGTGTGCGCAGTGTCCTATGCCCGGAAGAAGAGGAAGAGCTTGCAGGAACTATTCACGAAGATCATGGCGGTGATTGCCAACCTGTCCTTCAACTTCAATTTCTTTCAGCCGGACTGCAGTGTTGAGAGTCCTTACTGGCAGAACTGGGTCATGCCACGCGGCTGCAACTATTGCTCCCAGGACCCAGTGTTTGAGCAAAGTGTCCGGCTCGATTGCAAGCACATTCTCTGGAAGACTGTCAACATCACCTGGTCGTGAGGTTTACCATAATGCCTTATGCCTTGATGTTTCCCATCACGTGCTCGTACCTTGTCGTGAAGTACCTCTCATTCCGCGAGAGCCGCGGTGACCCGCAGTACCGAGCAGCTTGGACGAAGAATCAAGATTCGGAAACCTCTGGCAGCGGAAACTCTTCACGCATCGTAGATTGCAGTGCCGTTAAGGAGGTGCAGGGGTGGCTGCTCCTCAATGCCTGGGGTAGGGCGATGCTGACAATCCTCTTGCTTTTCATCCAGCAGCATATGACGCAGTTGAGCATTCCATTCCAATGCAAATCCATGGCGGATGGCTCTCAAGTGCTGGTGGCTTCGCAAGATATTGTTTGTACCCTGGCTCGAACCATGCCCTTTGCCGTGTCTCTGCACGGGTGCAATTCACCCCACCCCACATGTGCCACCACCCATAGGCGATTTGGCCGACACCAACTATCAGCTGCTTTTCGGAATCGCATCCTTGGGATGGTTTATCTTTGGCTCGGGTTTCGCCGTTCTGAACGTATGCCTGTATTGGAGCTACCACTGGCAAGCAGGGACAAAGACGCGAACCTTGGCCGCAAGCTCTGGTGAATTTGCCTGGCTACCGCAATTTCGGTTGTGTGAGTGCGTCAGGCGACCGCATCCCAATCTATGTCGCGGCTGTCGAGATGAGCGTGGAGAACATGAGGCAGGTTTCTGTTTTGAATGAACGACCGGCTTTGTGTCTACCCTCTGAGCTGCAAGGGGCTGGGTCGAAGCCGTGCGGCTGCGGGTTTTCAGCAGCTTTGCAGAAACGAGTTTACCTTGGCATGCCATGGCCGTAGTTGACTAATTGGTTCGATGTATGTTGAACTTGTTGTTGTGCAAAACGTGGAGCATATCTGGCAAGTAAGTTTTGCCGCATCCGAGCCAAGTCTGCAAGGCAACATTGTGGCGGTCCGCACTTACCCGACTGGAAAGGACACCGAGGCAGCAGAGAAGCGCCAGTTGATGGAGGCCGGTTCTTAGCATGTCGGCTTCAGACTGAGCAGCAAAGCTTCGTGGCTGGAGGCGAAGATGAAGCAACGGGGTGCTGCTGTGGTGCCCGATAAGCAGGGAAAAGACTTGGACAAGGAATTGGCCGACATGCGGCGGCGCAAGGCAACCCTGGAGGACACTGCGGGATCGTGGGTCTCAGCAGCCATTGACATCGAATAGCGCCTAAAGTGCATTTGAGGATGAGGTGAACCTTAAGGAGATCAAGCTGAAGTGGAAGAACAAGGAACGCTTCACAGAGAAGGGGTCTTGGCCCGACCAATTGGATGGCAGCTATCTGACCTATGGTTGGGTGCTCATCTTCAGTGCTTTGGGCCGCAGTGGGCAAGCAGGCGAGCCTGTTTTTCGTCACCCTTTAATATATATTGGGGCACCAGCGGCTGCGGAAAAAATCATATCTGTACGACTGTACGATGAGTTTCAAGTGGAGCGAGAGCTACAGGCAGCTTCTTTCGCCAGTTTGCCCTGATGCTGTCCGCCCTGATGGCCGTGGAATTCCCACCCTTCGGGGCTGCCGCACAGTCCCTGGTCTTCATGATCAACTTTGCGGCTCCTCGGAAAGCAGCACCGGGGCACGGCAACCGTGCCTGAGCTTTCCCAAACTTTCAGACTGTCCAGCCGAGGCTTTGATCCTCCTGTTCCCATACACGGCCAGACTCCTGAACATCGAGGTTTGCAGTGGTTCACGGTGAAGCTACTGGTATCCGTTCTGTGGTGAGTGTCAAGAGCTTCCCTTGGAGTTGTCCCTTGTGGCAAGGAGTCAGTCCTCACAGGCTGCATGGCATTCCTAACTTTCATGGCCGCTTTCAAGGACCTACCCACGAAACACTTAGCCGCCAAGCTGTGATGCATGTCGCGACTGTGTTGATTTACGCAGGAGATGGTTTCCAAGCACAACAAAGCTTCGCAGTACCAGTCCACCATCGATGCTACAAGCCTCTTGGCATCTCTTGCCGATATGCTGTGGCCACCAGTCGCAGGGGAGCAGTTTTTAACTGGACCCGTGATTGAGGCACGCTGATTGACGTGCTGGTTCTCATCATCGTGACGATAATCAGTGGCACCATGGTCTTTAACGCCTACATCATCATTGGTCCGTGCCATACCGCCAGCTCACTGCTGTGTGGCACCTGCTGTTGCAGCTTGAGACAGCCATTCCACAACTTTGCTGTCAAGGTGGGGCTGTCACGACGGAGTCGGACGACCAGATCTTGAACAAGGCTTATTTTGAGACCGCCATGCAGCACCCTGCCTGCATTGGCTTAGCGACGCCGTGCTGTGTTTTTCTTAGCCGAAGCTCCCAAGCTCGAGGCAAGAGCGGCTGCGCGAGGAAGAGGAGCGTGGCCGCTTCCATCGCCAGATGGAGGACCTGGGACCTGGGTCGCTTCGGGATGCTCAGGGTCAAAGATACTCGTAGTGTGGGGCTTCTTCGACATGCAGGAAGAAGCCAGGGACGAGGAGGATGCCCATGAGGCTGCCTTCTGGAACGACCCCTTGCAGGCTGCAATCTGAACCACCTTCTCGGAGCTGTGTGTTGCCTGGAGTTGGGTGGTCTTTGGTAAGTGTTGTTTCAGAACTCCGTCGATGGTTTATCTCCACCAGCCGTTCCATCACCAGACAGTACTTGGCCTGTGAAGGCAATCGAGAAGGAATGCATTGGACTGAAGTTGCATCCTGGCAGCGGTTCGTGTGTTGTTACCGTTGGTTGTGTGCGATTGCCGGGCCGGTAGAGCTCTCGTACCTTGATGTGCCTTGTTTGCCTCAGGATACCCTTGCCAGATTCCGAAGCGACGGAACTGGATAAGTGCATCAGTATCCTGCCTCATGTGATTTCAAGTGACATGTTATGATAAGCTCGATTGTTTTGCCTCTTGCCTCTGTGTTACGTCCTGCCTCCGCTTGCCACTTGCTGCCCGGGCTTGAGGCTCGATTACCAGCCCATTCGTGGAAGAGTTGCGGGAGAAGCGCGATGCTTTCGAAAGTGCCCCAGAGTCAGAGGGCATTGAGCAGCATGGAGTATTGAGCACGGTTGGACTGTGCCACCGAGGTACCATTCAGCAGAAGAAGGAGGCTCTCAAGACAAGGGAGCAGATGGAAGCTGAAGAACTGAGACAGCGCCCAAGTGGCAGAGTATCAAAACGTAAGAAGCTGTAAGAGAGCGGCCTCGAGTCACTCGAGTATCCTGCAGGGATAGGGTCGCCGGTAGCACGTGCTGCGACGCAGGGGTGTTCCATCGCGTTCCAGCTCTCAAAAACACGGAAACAGCACCTCCTAGATGAGGGTGGAGTGGTCGCGCTGTTGAAAGCTCGTGTCGAGGATGCGATGGGAAGAATTCCGACAGAAGAAGGCTGATATCTTTTGGGCGGCTCAAGAGGCTGAAGAGCGCAACGCTATGTTTCATGAAGATCCGCAGCGTCTGCACGAGGCGGACATCCGAATGCTGTCAAGCGATGCAGGACTGTTGAAATTGCTTGGCAGGCTTTCCTGCAAGAGGCCTTGCAGCTGGCAGAGCGCTACGAACGTGACTGCATGGAACGAGTAGAGCGAGAACAGCGCGAGGCCGGCATGGATGCTTTCAGGTACCACACTTGGACAAGTCCTTGAACTCTGACTTCTGATACGCAATGCAGAAAAGCCGTTCTCATGATGGTCCCTTGAGGTTTTGGTTGCCTGCATCGTCTGGGGTTCCTAACACACTCGCGTTGACCGGAGACGGCAACAGCATTCGAAGGTTGTAGGGCCTGCAGGGCCTAGGGCCAGGCGTGGGGAGAGCACCCCAGGTGGAGGAGTGGAACGCCAACCTGGAAGCTGCCGAGCGGGTGGCGATGGCAGAGGAGGATCTGCTGTGCGGATCTCAGCCTTCGGCTCAGGTCGGGCTAGCGAGCATCCCAGCATCCCGACATGTCTCAGGTCGTTCGAGGTGAGAGTTTGGGATTGTCTCCATGCACAGGAGGGGTCCGCATGGCTTCTGCGAGCGACCTATCCTGTGAGCTTCTTCTGGAGGAGCCCGAGCTACGGGCCCGCGAGCTGCGGGACATGGCCAAGTTGGAGTGCCTCGCTGAGCTGTCTTGGGCTGTCGCATGCTGTCGCCATGTCGCGTCAGATGTCAGCTGCAGAGTTGTGCTCAAGGTTCCGACAGCGCGAGGTGGAGGAGACAAACGCACGCCTCGAGGCCCGGGACGGCTTCAGGCACTACTGTCTGAAGTGGCTGAACTTCAGCTATGCTTGCTGCATGCAGTCAGGCGATGTTCTTGGACATGATGCAAAAGGAGGAGCAACGGCAGAGAGAGGTGGAAGAGTGGCGCCTCGGCGTGAAGACTTAGCCATGTCATGTCGCGCGGCGGTTCGGTGCCCAGGGGGTGCCTCTGCCTTTTCTCCGAGGAACTCCAACCTGGAGGCCCAGGCCCAGGAGGCCGCGGGCAGACGGCGGCCCGGCGGCCCGCCGTCTGCTGTCTGCTGATGTCTGCAGTCTGCGCCCCTTGCTCAGCTGCCCCTGGTGAGGCGATGGAAAGGGAGGAGGAGCTCCAACGAGAATACGACGAGTTCCTGGAAATCAGCCGCCTGCAGCCTGCCGTCTGCACTTCGAAACCAAGAAGGATGCTTTGTGTCACGCGATTGAGGTGAAAAAAGATGGAACATAAGGCATGTGTTTGTGTTTGTGCGCGTGCGTCAAGCACCTGAGGATCGAGAAGGATCAGCAGAAGCAAAGCTGCAACTGGAGTCGCTGTGAGCAGTTGCCAGCTTGACGTCATGTTTACCCGGATGTGTACGTGCATTGTGTGCTAAAACTCCCGTGGCCTCATAAGGAAGAAGCTGAGAAAGGATGAGCTCAAGCGCATGCAAAAGGACACACTCATCTGTGGAGATCATGGAGGCCGTGCGCTTGTTATGGTGGAGCTTCGGGTTGAGCTCCAGGAAGAGAAGATCATGCGCAAGTACTTGCAAAGCCTACTGGAAAGTGAGGACTGCGCACCAATCCAGCGGCTCTGCTCTAAACGAAACCCTAAGTTGGAAGCCCGCACGCCCCGGCACAGTCCCGCTGACTTTGGTGCGAAGAGGAGCTCGAGCTGAGCCGCATGGCCTCGGAAGAGCAGCGGACGCGACAAGTCGAAGAACTCGCCTCGCAGTGCCTGAGCTGCAACGTAGCAGAGCAACAAAATCAACAAAGACGCTCCTGTTCCTCTCTAGCTTGCCGATACCAACGGCGGGGCATAGCCCCCTGCATGCCGGGGAGACCTGCGGCGACAAGCAACACGCCTCTTTTGATTTTGCCCGTTCAGAGGCTACCCAGCACCGTCTCCCTGAATCGCCCTAAACTGACACGGCTTGCCAATCTGGGTCATACGAAGAGATCCATGATCTCAGAAAGGCTGTCTTTAGCTTGATTAAGCCCGAATGAGCGGACATAAGACTGTCGGATACGCCGGCCAAGCATTAACTAGCACGGTTATGGACAGCCTACATGACAGCTTACGGAGTGTCTCTAGTCATGTCAGGGGGCAGGGGAGGAGGAGGATGTCCAGAACCGAGTTCCGCAGACCCTACCCAGTTTAGTCAGCCCTGCGGAACCCTCGAAACCCAACGTGACTGCGAAAGCATCCTAGCCATCTTATCTGGTTCCGGTTTGCCCAATCCTTTATGCCTACCTGTGCTTTAGTTCTTGCAGGCGGACAGCACAGTCCATTCTCCAAGGTGAAGTTAGGATGGAGATGCTAAAATAACCTACACCTGGTGACCCTATCTATCAGGCAGATCCAAGCAATGCATGCTCGAGGTGCCGGTCCAAACCAAAGTTTTCTCTTCCAACGTAGTGCTTCCGCCTCCTCGACACCAACGAAAGCCGAGTTCAACCATAGTCCCTCCCAGCACCTCGAGGAAACATCACGGCCGAGCATTATTTGACCGCTCCGTCCTACTTGTTCAGCCCAGCGGCCGTGTTGTCCCAAATCTTTACAATCGCCTCGTTCGCAGCAGTGGGGAGAAAACAGCAGAGACAAGGGGGTAACTTACCTGCGGCGCTTTGCCTCGGGTGCACGCCTGCAGACAACACCCGAAAATCACCGCCGAAGCCCCAAATCGTGCAGGCTTGAAATACAGAACCTGGAAGACATGCGCTGGGAAGAGCAGAGACAGAAGGAGGCCGATCTGCCCGCTCGGCCCGCCTGTCTTTTGTGAGTCAGACGGGATCTATTTGGCCCATGTGATATGCACTGCCGATGAGTACTGTAGGCTTTTGCATTAAGAAGTCAGAGGCTGTAGGTTACTGTTCGGCGAGCAAAATCCCTCGGGGAGGTGCGGTAGGTCGGCAGGCCAATCACATCTCAACATCATGCCATAAGCATGGCGAAGACAGAAGCCGGAGAAAAGACTTCCCGCCGGCGGCGGCTGTTGGGATCAACTTCAAATTAACTCAGATACATTGCCGTGTTGCCGTGATGCAGATCGCGGCCTACTTGGCCCAGCTCGAAAACGAGGAGCGCCACAGCATGGCCAAGGAGGAGAAGCGGACACGAAAGTTTCGGACGCTTGGATTCTGTGGCAGAGACCGGGTTCCTCACAAGATCACTTCTTAGTCCTCTTACTTCTTAAGAGAGATGGTTCTACCCAAGGAAGAAAACGCAGGAGCGGCTGGTGCTCGTGCTTGACCGAGCAGGCGGGTTTCGGACCAAATGATCGTACCTTTGTGGTTGAGGGTTCAGCAACCATCAGGCATGGAGGTCAACGACTTGCGTGTCCAAGAACGTGCCGCCAAAACGCTGCAGAGAGCTCCGTGGCCCTGTTTGGTTCCACCACTCTGCCTGCACACTGTCTGCATGTCTGGAACCATCCCGAGGAGCGCACGCGAATGGCCCAAGAGGACGAGGAAGCCAAGGAACAGCGCGCGAGGGACCGAATAAGGTTCCCTTGCATGCAGACAGGCACAGATAACGTCGTGATGTTGAGACCTGTTTTGAAGGCCGTTGATTTCGTCCTTCCATCTCTTGTGCCCGAGGTTGGAGATTGAAGAAGAGGACCGCAAGAGGCGGCAAGCCCAAGCCGAGCGGGAGGTCACTTGGCCTCAGCTTGAAAGTAGGGCTAATGCGAACAGTCCTGCCCTCAACCCTAGGAGATGGAAAGGCAAGCACAGCAAGCAGAGGCCGAGGCCGCGAGATGGCAAATGGAAGGGCACGCAGTACAGCTTTGCAGAGCGGCGTCGAGAGCCAGGAGCGGCAAAGGAGAGAAGCGCTTGAGCAAGCGGAGGCCGAGGCACAACGTGCCCATGTTGGTCGGGGGATGATACCAGCTTCGAAAGCTTCTCCGGAACCGAGGAGAGGGAAAGACAAGCGATGCAGGAGCAGTCGAAGGCGGAGGCCGCGTCGCCAGACAAAGATTTCGATGGCGTGTCATTGTTTTTGAAACCCCTGACACTGGCGAGGCCGCGCCTCCCCTGCAAACCGATGAGGCGCTTCTTGTGTGGTCTTCTGCGAGTGGCCACGAGCACTGAGTAGCACGAAGCTCCCAGGAAGCAGGCAAGCCAAGAAGGCGCCGGCAGAACAAGTCCCTCGGCACTTACAAGTTGAGCCGTTGCTGTTCGCGTGAGGCGACTTGTATTCGAGCCACGTGTAATGTCCAGAATGGGATTGAGCGTGTGTCCGTTGGCGCAGTTCACAAAGCTTTTTGCCGAGGGCGGAACATGAGGAAGAGGATCGCAAAGGGCGGCGACATTCTCCCAAAGAACAGGAGGTCGAGGCTTCACTTGTGACGACATCCGCAGCTTGACTCAGACATCATTGCATGGTGTTTGAAGGAGATGGACAGCCAAGCGCTGGAGCAAGAGGCAGAGGCTGCCGAGCCTGCTGGAGGGGAGGAGGCGTGTCTTTGCGTCTTCACGAAACCGGGTTCGGTGAGAAGCTGCAGTGTGCGGCACAGTCTTGCCTGGAATCGACTGGTGTGCAGGAAGCAGCGGGTAAGTCCAGAACGCGAAGACGAAATAAGCTGCTCGACATACACGTGCGAATGCTTACAGAAGTGATAAAGAGTTGCAAACCTACGTTTGCAGAGATCTTTGGCCTGGGCCTAATCGTTTTATGGGAAAGCTGTAATCAGGGCCGCAAGCAGGAGCTATCAATCTTTTATTGGAAGAGAACAAGGGCCCAGCTTCGTTCCCGTCTTAATTACTTCCGTCCTGCCTGCCTGCCATTGCGAGTTGCTGTAGGTCAAAGCAGGATCACAAGTCGGGATTTTTGAATGAACGCGAGCTGAGGGCGGAGGATGAGGAAGAGGGTCGCAAAGGTCAGCGACATTCTCCAAAAGAGCAGGAGGTCGAGGCTTCACTTGCATAGACAGCTGCAGCTTCGCTCAGTCCATCTTTGCCTGTATGGTTTCAGGACGTGAAGGAGATGGACAGCCGAGTGCAGGAGCAAGATGTAGAGGCTGCCAAGCAGCCTACTGAGGCGTGTCTTCGTGTTTTCAGTGCGAAGTGTCTGTGGCTTTGTGCGAGCGGGATCGAGAGCTTTCAGGGCCCTGCCGGCCAGGAGCGGCAAAGGAGAGAAGCGCTTGAGCAAGCGGAGGCCGAGGCACAACGTGCCCATGTTGGTCGGGGGATGATACCAGCTTCGAAAGCTTCTCCGGAACCGAGGAGAGGGAAAGACAAGCGATGCAGGAGCAGGCGAAGGCGGAGGCCGCGTCGCCAGACAAAGATTTCGATGGCGTGTCATTGTTTTTGAAACCCCTGACACTGGCGAGGCCGCGCCTCCGCTGCAAACCGATGAGGCGCTTCTTGTGTGGTCTTCTGCGAGTGGCCACGAGCACTGAGTAGCACGAAGCTCCCAGGAAGCAGGCAAGCCAAGAAGGCGCCGGCAGAACAAGTCCCTCGGCACTTACAAGTTGAGCCGTTGCTGTTCGCGTGAGGCGACTTGTATTCGAGCCACGTGTAATGTCCAGAATGGGATTGAGCGCGTGTCCGTTGGCGCAGTTCACAAAGCTTTTTGCCGAGGGCGGAACATGAGGAAGAGGATCGCAAAGGGCGGCGACATTCTCCCAAAGAACAGGAGGTCGAGGCTTCACTTGCGACGACACCCGCAGCTTGACTCAGACATCATTGCATGGTGTTTGAAGGAGATGGACAGCCAAGCGCTGGAGCAAGAGGCAGAGGCTGCCGAGCCTGCTGGAGGGGAAGAGGCGCGTCTTCGCAAGGGGCCCGATGACGTGCGGAGCATTCTTCCCTGGAATCGACTGGTGTGCAGGAAGCAGCGGGTAAGTCCAGAAGGCGCCGGCGCAAAAAGCCTCTTGGCATACAGACGCGAATGCTTACAGAAGTGATGAAGACCCGTCACAATGCAGGCCTTTCAGCAGGTAAAACCGTGCAAACCTACATTTGCGGAAAAGTTGGGGCTTCTTTTTTTCTGAAGGCTGTATGTAGTCTCCGCATTCTTCGCACACGCTCAGATTCAAGGGGATTTGATCGGCGTGAGCGCATGGAGCCGCCTGGCATACCCGGTGATTCCGTGGCTCCCGCTGTGGTGCAATGGACATGTTCGCCCAAATCGCGTTCTCTTCTCAACTGCGCGGCGGCCGCATACTGCTAGGACATCGGATTCAAAGCAACATCGCAAAACAACAACGATACGCACTTTGATGGAGCTTCATCTTCCACCATCTTTTGGGGTGTTCCGTGGACATTCTGCTCCGTCTTGGCTAGCCGTCGCGGCGAGGAGTGTTATGACTGGTGACAGCTCTTTGGGGTTCCGGAAAGCTTTGGATTGTTGTAGGTTCTGGTTTCCTGGCCTGCAAATCCAGTCGCTTACAACTATATTACTATATTTCAAGAAGTTGCAACCATTTCGAGGCAGACTGCTCCACACTGTTGTGTTTTTTCAACTGTGTTGGGATTTTCAACTGTGTTGGGATGTATTACATTTCAATTTTCGAGACAAGATGTCATCTATGGTTCTCGAGTTTGACGGGCTTCTTCTGGACATCTACGTACAAGATGATCATGTGCTAGCGTATTATCCTCAGTTGCGTGCCATTAACCGACATGCTACTCGCATCGACAAGTTCGGATTAATCTGCCTTTTCAATCAGGTCTCTCAGTCGCATGCTCAGAAGCTGGGGGCGCTGTCACGAGCACAGTCCTAACTGGCGGAAGAGCGGCAAACTACCAGGCGTCCTTGCATGGAAGCCTGCAGCAAAAAACGGTCACAATGGAGCTACTACACCGAATGCATGCCAGACATCGTGTAAGTCTTTGGAGGCTCCCGCGCATTTCGACTGAAATTTTTCTGTACATACAGAAATTCTGACATCCCAATATCACTAGACTCGTTTACTGTAAATGGAATCGAGTCGGACTGCCCAAACATTCGGAAAGAAGAAGTTGTCATTTCTAAGCAGTTCGCATCGAAGACATCGCAAGCTCAACAGTTTGCACACCCAACGTACTTGGAGATACCAGGATCCATGTTCCAACGGAGCTCAAGGCTAAATTGATGTGTCCCCTTCACGGCAACCTTAAGTAAACGCACAAAGCCGATTGAAGACCTAGCAGAGCTACACCGTCGGCCTTCGTGGGGCTCCGTCTCCTAGTCTTCCTCCGAAATCCGCGCAGTTCCAAGGGCGAAAATCCAGGTCGTGCTCCCTTTTGGAGTGCACCAGTCTCGTGCCCGGCGCCCGAAACGCTCCCGCCGCAGCCCGTGCCTTTCTGGCTGCGACGGCTACGGTTCCACGGTTCCACGCGTAGATTGGGCTCGGACCTGTCCAAAGCGTGCTGCGGGCTTTGCACTTGTGCTCCCCCTGCACATCTTGGTTTCATGGGCTGGTCTTGAGATGTCTTAGGAGCCGCAGGGTTGCTGTAGTACTGTAAGGTTTGGAATGCTGGCTTCTGTTTCACTGTCTGGAGTCCATGCTGGCATAAATGCTGTCTGCGTGAGCTACTTAATGGGAGAGAACAGGGCCGAGCTTCGTTCCCGTCTTTCCCTTAGTCCTGCTGGCCATTGCTTCTGTCTACAGTTGGAGTGATCAGAGTCTTGACCTTGCAGTAGGATCCGTGCCTCAAAGCAGGGAGACAAGTCGGGATGATTCTATGAACGCGAGCTGAGGGCGGAGGATGAGGAAGAGGATCGCAAAGGGCGACGAGACTCCCCAAAAGACCAGGAGGTCGAGGCTTCACTTGCGACGATACCTGCAGCTTCGCTCAATCCATCATTGCCTGTATGGTTTCAGGACGTGAAGGAGATGGACAGCCGAGTGCAGGAGCAAGAGGTAGAGGCTGCCAAGCAGCCTACTGAGGCGTGTCTACGTGTCTTCAATGAGAAGTGTCTGTGGCTGTGTGCGAGACACAGAGCGGATCAGGATCGAGAGCTTTCAGTGCCCTGCCGGCCAGGAGCGGCAAAGGAGAGAAGCGCTTGAGCAAGCGGAGGCCGAGGCACAACGTGCCCATGTTGGTCGGGGGATGATACCAGCTTCGAAAGCTTCTCCGGAACCGAGGAGAGGGAAAGACAAGCGATGCAGGAGCAGTCGAAGGCGGAGGCCGCGTCGCCAGACAAAGATTTCGATGGCGTGTCATTGTTTTTGAAACCCCTGACACTGGCGAGGCCGCGCCTCCGCTGCAAACCGATGAGGCGCTTCTTGTGTGGTCTTCTGCGAGTGGCCACGAGCACTGAGTAGCACGAAGCTCCCAGGAAGCAGGCAAGCCAAGAAGGCGCCGGCAGAACAAGTCCCTCGGCACTTACAAGTTGAGCCGTTGCTGTTCGCGTGAGGCGACTTGTATTCGAGCCACGTGTAATGTCCAGAATGGGATTGAGCGTGTGTCCGTTGGCGCAGTTCACAAAGCTTTTTGCCGAGGGCGGAACATGAGGAAGAGGATCGCAAAGGGCGGCGACATTCTCCCAAAGAACAGGAGGTCGAGGCTTCACTTGCGAAGACGCCGGCAGCTTGTCTGAATCCATCATTGCCTGATGCCTTCAGGACTTGAAGGAGATGGACAGCCAGGCGTTGGAGCAAGAGGCAGAGGCTGCCGAGCCTGCTGGAGGGGAGGAGGCGTGTCTTCGTAAAACGGGGCCCGATGACGTGCGGAACATTCTTCCCTGGAATCGACTGGGTTGTGCAGGAAGCAGCGGGTAAGTCCAGAAGGCGCAGGCGCAAAAAGTCTCTTGGCATACAGATGCGAATGCTTACAGTCTTACAGAAGTGATGAAGACCTGTCACAATGCAGGCCTTTCAGCAGGTAAAATCTTGCAAGTCTACGTTGGCAGAAAGATTTGGCGTATTCTTGTGGAAAAGCTGTACTTAGGGCTTCTAGCGGGAGCTACTAAACAGGAGAGAACAGGGGCCCAGCTTGGTTCCAGTCTTTCCCTTAGTCCTGCTTGCAATCGCTTCTGTCTACTGCTGGAGCCATCAGAGTCTTGACTTTGGACTTGCGATGCAGCTGTTGTACGGCAGTTGCTGTGGGAACCGTGCCTCGAAGCAGAGAGAGAGAGAGAGAGAGAGAGAGTAGCCATTTTGGCTCAAGTACTGCACCTTTGCTCGGGTGGCCTGTGACGCCCCCGTGCATCGGGTAGGGAGGTGGCTGGTTGACTCAGGGTGTCTCCCTGGGGGAGCCAGACCACCTTTCTCCAGCGGTGCTTGAGTCCTCCGGCCGCCGCATTTCTCATCAAGTGGCCCTGTCAGGGATAGCCGCGTTGCAGCTATATCCGTGTACGGCAAGTTCGAACCTCTACGTCCTTGTGGGGGACCTGACAACTGCAAGAGCTTCTTCCTCACCACCTTAAAGGCTACAGTTTGGCTCAAGTTCTCGGCTCGAGAGAGAGGTTTGAATTGTTCTAGCCTGTGAAGCGGTGCTCAGTTCTCAAGGGTTTGACGTTGCTTTTGCTTTGCTTCCTTCACGTCTTCGTGATTTGAGGGCATGCAGCCGAAGGAAGTACCGTCGCATTTCTTGCCCGCCGTGGGTCGTCATACTGATGTGCTGGAGAGAGGTGCAGCTGCGGCTGAGCCAAGCTTTGAGAGCCCTTCAGAGAAGACCCGCTTGAGAAAACCTAGTGCCCCGGAAGTTCCAGAGCTCAAGAAGCCTAAATTGGAGAGCACAGCCAACTCCCACCCAGGAGGTATCTCTCCAGGAGAGCCCATCTTCGGTACCCAAACTGAAGAGGACAGCCCCGATGAAGACATGGAGATACCGGTGCCTCCAGATTCACAACAGACGCTCCCAGCCCAAATTCCTGGCCTTTCTGAAGTACAGCAAATCGATCTTACTGAACAAGACAAAGCTTATGATGAACTTCAAACAGCTACCCCGAAGCCATCGCATCAGCAACTGCAGCCGGACGTTGGCGCCGGCATCCTCAGGCATCTCAATGCGGAAGTGCATGCACATAATTCCATGCCCGATCTAATTCATAATTCTACTCATGCGACTGCTCATGCCCCTGCTGTTGCGAATGCCACTACTGCTCATTCTGGCTATCAGGCTCCTAATGTGATGCCTCCTTGGTTGGCAGACATTCACGCCGGCTTGCAAGGATTGCACAACAAAGCTGATCGACAGTACTCTGATATAGTCGCAGGACTTCAGACCCAAGGGGCCAGACTTACAAGCCTCGAAACTGTCGCTTCAGAACATACCCTCCGACATGAACGTTCCGAGTCCCGGATTGCCCTTGTCGAAGAAAAAATTCGCGAACTTGAAGCCCTTAAGGACACCCTTTCTAGGTCCCCACGCCGCGCCCCCAATGCCGCACCTAGGTCACCTCGGTCCCCTCGTTCCCCTCGCAACTCACATTTTGGGGGTTACGATTTTACAGGGGATGAAGAACCTGATTTCGACCTTGTCGCTGGTGGGTGGAATGATGCTAGAAGGGATGACGCCATTCAAGAGATGCACAACATTCTTACTGATGCTGCGGTTAAGGATCAGATTCAGGAGGTCTGGGCTCCATATAGTCGAACCAGCTTTGTGAAGATCAGGCTCCACCTTGATGCCGGGCTTAACATTGCAGCTAAGCGGAAGATTCAGAAGGCTGTCCTCGACAAGCTTAAGAGCAAGAAGTATGTCAGCGGCGTTGTTGGCAGTGAGAACGTGAAACTTTGGGTCACGCGCAGTAAAACACCTGAAGAAAGGAAGATGACCCGCGCAATCGTTCTTTGCAAAACATTCTACTGTCACATTCCGAACAAGGACCCTTGCAAGCTGAATCCGTTCTCTGAACAAACAGTTGAGATCTCCTGGAATGGCAAGGTGTTCATAGGACAACATCAGATGCTTGGCAACGTTCACCGCGATGGTGA